CACAGATGTTGCCCAGTATTTAGGTCAGTTTGTTTGCAGATGGGTGGTCACTAACACTTGTATTAGCTTGGGCTTCTAAGAATTGATACAATAGGCTAGTCAGCACTCGGCGGCCACCCTGAAGAAGCTGGAAGTGAAGTCTTTGTAATCACAACGGACAGAACTCCCTCACAGATACCAAACAGCATTAAAGTCTGCTTAATGACTGCTGCTACGAGAACTAGACTGCCATGAAAATCCAATGTACTGACGAGTGGCTGTACCGAAGCTTTGGAGATAATACTGATCACATGACTGTGCACTACTTACAGTCTAATACAGGGGAACAATACAACTACAGCTATTGTTACAGCTTGGAACATTGTTACGACTGTAAGTACTTTTCATCTGACGGATTTGTGCGCAGTATTTCATAAAAATATTTTGGTATGATTCCACTATTACCATACAGGACTAAAAAAAAGGAATATAAACAGTAACCTCACCTTATTTCTAACAAAAAACTCTGGATGTCTTCACTTTTCCATAAAAACCATAATGAGATAAAAGTTGCTATTTTGAGAAAACGGGCAGAATGATGAGATAAGAAGTAACACGTTTGAGATGAAAGCTGAAATAAAGAGATCAGAAGGGATTTTTCTAAGATGAAAAATAGACATAGTGAGAAGATGCCAAAGTAAACCATAATTTGCATTAAAAAGTCAAAATAATGTAGTAAAAGTCAAAGTTATAAGAGTAAATTATTGTACTAAAAAAAGCCACAATGTTAAGATAAAAAGTTATAATTATGACAAAGTTAGTTATAATTTTGAAGCAAAATTATAACTTTGCTGTTTGTCATCATTTATAAATACCAACTAGAATTATAACCAAGATTAGATTTATAACTACAGTTAAATTTCTAGTTTCCATCCCTTATTAGAGGAAGGGAGGAAACTTTCTGTACAAATCTCTTAGATAGGAAGTTAAAATGAGACAAATGAGACATGACAAAATTCATAAAGAATCAAATGATAACTCAAAATAGCAAGACAAAGTCTAAAGTTTGAGATAGTCATAGCTGTTTGAGTACAAGTGGAAAGATGTTGAGCTAAAGAGTCAAAATTGAGTCACAAAATGATGCTGGAGCATGATCCAATAAAGAGCATCTTCTCTGGTTATTATGATAGACTATCCTAATGGGGATTTTTCTTACAGTTATGACTTATTTTACCATGAGTAGGATTTTATATCTTTATGTCATAAGACTTATGGCAGATGTCTTTATAATTCAAAATCATGTTCATCATGTTGATTTTTTATTTAGAATTAAAGCTATCTGTGTTTTTACTTTTTATCTCACAGCTGGGACATGCTGTTTTTACAATTTCAACTTTTGATTTTTTTATTTAGATTTTTTTTTTTATCCTGTAATAACAATGATGGCTTTCTATTCTGTAATAACCGCCTTCCATTAGCATTCACTTATTTTAGATTTTTGACCAGCAAAATGGGTTTTCATGTCGTCAGTCTCATTGTCTTTGTCAGCAGATCCATTTTCTAAATCAATATCTGTTGGTTCGTAGTTTCCTTATTCTTTGGTTATCTTAACTGCTCTCTAAGTGCTCCATAATCTCAGGTTTCAGTTCAATAATCTCCGGTTCTCAGTCAATCATCTATTTGGATATGATTATCTCTCAATATTTTAAGTATACTCTCAGTCTTTATAGATCATTTAATGGCTTTTTGTTAAAGTTTTATTAACTGTATCAGGGTTTTGTTCAGTACTCTATGGTTTGTAATAATTGTCATGATTTATACTCTTTAGCTTTCTGCAGAACTCTCTGGGTGTTGATTATTATTGTCAGATGCCATTTTAATGTTCTCTCATTTCCAGATCACCGCTTGGTGTAATAATGTCAGTGGGTTTTGTAAAACTTTTGATAGCAATATTAAAGCTTTTTAAAGTTCTTTCAAGATACCAAGACAATACATTTTGTACCTGTGTAAGCACAAAGTTGTCAACACTCAGGATAAAGTATATAACTTTTAATGAGAAAAATAAATAAAAAGAGGCTGAGGGAGACAAACAAGCCCGAGGCTTTTGTCAAGGCTTCACAGACAGAAGTGGGTGTAAAACCTTTTGAAACAGCTGACACCAGGTGATTTGTCAGGGAAAAAGGATTAAAAATAGCACAGAAATGAGCAGCGATAAAACACAGCTGATCAAAACATGAGCAGGAATGATTTTTTCTGATGATGACGCTGATAGTTTATTTTACTCATTAAAAAGTATACTCCTCACTGTGAGAGCTGCAGCCTTATTAAAAGTATGTCAGCTCTTTCTTTGTTTTAGAAATTTTTGAACCAACCTCCTATTTGTTGTCATTTTTACGGCACTGACTCTCTGTCTTTTAAGAGGTTGTTAATAATCCTGTCTTTAGCCGCTCTCAGAAGCTCTTTGAAAAAGATTTATTGCTCATGAGTTATTTGTCACAATGTCAACATGCTGACATGTTGCAAAACAAATTCGAAATTTACATGCTGTCTTTGAGCTAACAACCAGCCAACGGTTATTGTGCATGCACACAAACGCCACAGGTCAGAGAACTGTCAAGAGGGTGATCAGAGTGTGACATGATAAAAACAGTGAATTTACACTGATCTGCTACAGCTTCATGACCTCTGATAGGTGAAGTGAATGTCCTTGGTTATGGTACAGAAGGACCAGGCTCAGATATTAAGAACTGGCCACAATTGGGAACCAGCTCTCAATTTCTGAGATTTGTGGAATTAGAAAAGTAGATTAATTTTGGTTCCTAACGGCAACATGAACTATCTGGAGTCCAGTGTTAATTTGAAAGCTATTTAAGATTTAGATCTAGTTTTCCTTATCTGCTGGGACCTGCTGAGTCACTGTCTCTTGTGACGCAGTACATAAACAAAGATGTGGAAAGAGGGTTGTGGTAGACTGCAGCAAGTGACCAAAAGTTTGGCTGAACTTCCCTAAAAAGATAATGACATCACAGGGAGGGGAGGTAGTATATCTGATGTGACTAAGCATTTACTCCTTTACAAGGGGTGAATTTAAGGGAGTGTGCTGCACTCATTGCGTTACAGTCTCCGTTTCTCAGGAAAACCTCAGCTAAAGCCTTTTGACCTCTGTAAGCGCAAACGCAAGAAAAAGTTACCAAATGAGATGATAAACTTTGACTGTAGCTCCCCACATGTACAGTTAGACCTCCATTAGCTCACCGTCAGAGCATCTCCATTTATATAAAATGACTCCAAAACCCAGTAAGAAGTTTACCTTTTGGATCTCAACTGTTATCAAGCATTCATATAATTAATGTCTACAATCTCACCAGCTTGGAATTTCTTCTTTGTGCTGTTTTCATAATCCTTAAGATTTATTCAACCCTGCTCAGTTTTATAAACTGCAAAGTCAGACCGCTGTCGGTGCATGCTCAGTTGGAAGTTTCCCTCTGTTTGCAGTTTTAATATTTAACAAAAAAAGTCTCCCTATTAAGTTTGTGAAAATAACCATGACAAAGAACAACCTTTGCTGGTGAGATTGCTTAGTTGCTTTGATCTCATCTTTGCATTCAGTGATGGAAGTCAATCTACACACGTACTTGTTGAGATCCTCTGTGTTTGCAGTCAGGTCCTTCTTGCTACAGCTAGCAGTAGCACGTACTATGACGTCCCAGCACATTTATAAAAATTAGAGACAAAACATGCTATTTTTTTAGGTTAACACCATGTCCACAAATATTTCAAAGATATTTTCTCAGATACTTGGTGATAGCACACGTCAACCCTCGCCTCCTACAAGGAGACCCTATAGTGCATAAGCTACTTTCACTTTAACAATAATGAGCGAGATGAACAAGCAGAAAATGAGGAATGACGCCATATGGTGACGGGATTTGTGCCAAAGGGGTTACACGTCTTTGCCAGACTATTAGGTCTCTGGAGTTTAAATCTGCAAAATCTATAATGTATGTTGATATTGTTTGATCATCTAAATTGCTGTCATCATATTTTTACAATCTCAATGTTAAAAATTTGGTTTTAAATTTTTCTTGTTGATCTATCTGAAAAGAAAGAGAATTTTTTAATTCTATAAATAAAGGAAAATGAAATTTCCTTTTGAGAGCTTAAACATCCCAATGATCAAGACAAGCTAATTTAGGTTCTTAAAATATTTAAATATGTTTTTCAAGCTCCAAAAATAGGAGAATTAATAAGAACCAGAACCAAATTTGATTAAACTGACCCAGAACATTTTGTCATCAGAGTTGACGTGTTTAAAGTACCAGACATGAGGATGTGACTGGGTCAGAGCATCTCCAAAACTGCAGCTCTTGTGAGACGTTCTCGGTCTACAGAGGTCTTCACCAGCCAATGGTTAAGTGGTTTAAGGTGAGGTGGTGAGACCCATTTATGTATGTGGGGTGGGGTGAAGGCTGGCCCATGTGGTCTGATCCCATGAAGAGCTACTGGAGCTCAAACAACTCAAATATTCATGCTGGTTCTGAAAGTTGACAGAACACTCCAGGTGGGCTAACGTGACTTTTTGCTAATCTGATTAAAATTTGTCTGATTGAAAATTCTTTGTCACCTTTTTACACGGGACATGATTTGTTCCAATCTGGTGTTAACATGCTTGAAGAGCCAATATGTGGGTAAAACTTACCTGAGTAGATGTCTTTGAGCCACTTCAATAAACCGTTGAACAGAGGCCATAAACTTGTTCATTTTGTCATAAAAAAGCATCATCAAGTCTCTGTCTTTAAGAGAGCAGTAAAAATTATGGACAGGAAACCTCATTTCTATCCCTGTAGTATAAAAAAACATAAGTGAAGTAGTTTAAACATGGACAGTTTGAAACTATACTTTTATTTAGCTTGTTTTGGAAGTTTTAAATGGCGTTATCCTCTCTTCCTTTTAATCAGTTCATTCAGAAAAAAACACACATATTAAAACTACAAAAAACCAGAACACAAACTAGGAGACAAAACTTAGTAATATCTGTTTGAGGCTAACTTTCCCAGAGCATATTCCAGTTCATAGCCCAGAGTGTGAGATCTACTCCACCTCTCAGAAAACACTCAAACGCTGGTTAAAAACAAAGCAGCCATGTACTCATGAATAATATCTCTTTACAGCCCTGATGCCCTTTCTCAGGGGCTTTGGGCTCATTTTGTGTTTTAACCGTTGTATTGTCTTGTCTTCGTCATGTAACAAACGTGTCAATTTTCATGTTTAACTTGTCGGCTGTGTGATGCACTGTCTTGTTACATCTTTGAATCTTTACCATCGGTTTTCTGTTTTATGTAAATACCTGCTTTAGGACTACAGATTAATCTTGGCTGTTGCGCTAATTTTGACATTTAAAATGCCTATTAAGGTGAACTGCTCTAATTAGATAAACTCAATAAAAATTGTTCTGCTCATGTGAGGAATAAAAATGAAAAAACATCTGCCAACACAATATATTAAAATATCTGTATACCTGACTGTTAATGGGAAAAAGAAAAGGAATACACCACCATTTTTCCAGACAGTTTTACCCTGATCCAAGTGTTTATATACTTCATTTTATGACAACTGAGCCTTTTTCTAGTTCTACTCTGGTACAAATTGGTCATGTAAACTTACTTACTGAATTGCAGTTTGTTTCTAATACTGACCACTGTTCACCACCAAAAGCACCTTTGATAGGCATATGAACCTCTGAGGAGGACCAAAGAGCTTTAGCAGAAGCTGGTCTAAAGTAAAACAACTTGTTCTCGAAATTTACATGATCTGAAGCTGATGGAGTATCTGTGAGATGAGCTGGATGACTAAGCTCAATCCATGGAGGCCCCTATAAGCAACCGATAGGATTTAGAGGATCTGCTGCAGTATTAGTGCCAGATACTATAACACCTCTGTAGAGGTCTAATGGAGTCCTCTGTCAGTCAAGTTTTAGTTTTATTCTGAGAGAGGTTGCACAACTTTGATCAGTCAATCAAACTTACTGTATATTGTAACCTTTCAACTATGTTTTTTGTGACATGTGCTGCTGACCTGTTGGCTAGGTCACCCTTATGAAAGAGATCTTGATCTCAGAGGATTTTGTCTGGTTAAATAAAAATAAATAAAATTAGAAAAAAAAAAGAAAAATAATATTGCACCATTTCACAACAAGTGTTAGTCCAAAACACTTCACAAAAAAGACCATAACCTATTGACAAAGATCCAATGTAAAAATGGGATCAAGCCCCATCTTGTAAGATAAGACCCGCTCCCATCCCATCTTCACCCACATGAGTGGAGAAATTTACTTCATTTAGCAAGTTAAAGCAAAGAGGAAAAACCTCCTTTAAAGAGATATTCCGCGTAAAATTAAGTTAGGGTCAAACACACAATAGCACAGAGTTAGACGCCCCCTTGAGAGATGAAAGTTGCCGACCGCATGCTTCTCTAGTTATACCAACTTTAGCAATGACCGCACAATAACAATATACAGCGGTCTATGGAACCACACACAAACCTCAACCAAAACGCCACTCTATAGCCACAAATAATGCTCAGAACAGCACCTAACTTCATCAACAGTAAATATAGGGTCCCAGCCACAGTACTAGCCACCAAAGATCTTTTTAACTTTGCCTGATTTCTTTAGCAAAGAGACTACATTCAACTCACCTACTCTCTTCCAGCAGCCACTTGTTTGTAGCGTGACCTCTATGATACCTATAAACTTAAATTTATGCTGGAATATCCCTTTAACAGGCAGATACCTTGAGCAGAACCAGACTCATGTTAGACAGTCATCTGCTGCTGCTGCATTGGGTTTAAAAATGGGACAGAGGGAGACAGAGGTGAGACTGATAGATTGAGATGCAGAAAGAGAGAGGTGGACAGAGGTGAGATTGATGCACGTCGTTGAAGCAGCTGGAAAGCAGGCCACCTTAGATAGGTGGTCATAAATAATGGCTGATCAGTCAAGCCAGGCATTCACTTTTTCTCCTCTAAGAATAACCTTATTTTCTATACCTGAAGGGAAATTCAATTTCAGTGGAATTTCTAGGAAATTCTAGAAAATTCTCTTGTGCAGCATTTCAGGGAAAAAACACATGATATATTGATGATTGTGTGTCAACTGGGGTGAATTGTCTTCAACGTGATAAAAAAAAAAAAATCACTGATGTGATGCTGAAGATGATGAGATCTGAAGAGTCAGAGCCCACTATCAGGTCATTCTCTCAACAGGTCATGGATGTCATACTGGCTTTGACGTTGAAGGTTTATAGAGCAAAGGTGAAGCTCAGGATGGATGTGAGGTGGAGCAGAAGTTCTGATGAGCACAGGAAAAAGGACCCTTAGGCGCAGAATGTGCTGAAGAATGGAGCCGAAGGAGGTGGAGGAGGAGGGTTGCATCTGCTTGACTGAAATGATAAGTGACGGCAGCCGAGAGGGACAGTTTAAACTTTGACGGCCATGAGACGATTGGCTCATTGGGGGTCGTGGCGAATTGTGATTGGTTTAACTGAACGCTCCAACAGTCAGCTGAGGAGTTGAAGAGGAAAAGCATGACAATATAAATAATTAATGAGCAACAAGATGGTCAGTCTTGCTGATTTAACTTCTGTCAAGCATCTTTTGAAATTCAAACCAACTCTAACCTTGAAAACACGGTAAGCAGATGGTTTATTTTCAGGACTTTATAAAAACCCCGTCTCTGGACTTCTTCGATATTCATAAGCTTACTTTCAACATTCCAGATTCATGTTCAATAATCCTACGACTCTACCAATAATTTCATGGTTTTATTTCAATTTTGTAGATTTTCATGCGGTCTTAACATACTGATGGTATGCCAGTGGCTTAGACAGGGTGCATTAAAGTGCAATAAATTGTATTTTTAAATTTTAAGACTGTTATTTATTTTTTGGGCTTTGCCAAACAAACCCTCCGGGGTTTTTTGTCCTTCACCCACCTGTCAGTCAGCCAAGGCCAGGACACAAATCCTTGAGCAGTTGAAAATAAAGTTTCATAAACACCAACAATGCATAAAAAGGAGGTAGGCCATTACTTTAAAGTACAAATGTGTGTCTGCATTTGCTGCGGTGACTCTTTTGTAGTGTTAAACATCAAGAGCAGTTTGAGTGAAAGGAGGGAAATGAGAGAGACAGAAGGAACCAAAGCTTCAAGGCATAATACTGTAATTGGAAAATTGTGCAAATGCGTTTTGGAGTCATGTTATATAAATGGCCGGCAGAGATAATGCCTGAGATTCGAGGCATGGCCTAATTGAGACTCAGAGATGGAGGAGGAGAGGGGTGGCGATGCCGAGGGGGCGAATGAAGTGTGGGTTTTAAATTGGGTGAAGGGAAAGTGGATGGAAATAGGATGTTTTCAAAGATGTGGGTGAGCGGGAGGCAGGGAGAGCGAGCTGTTTCTCTTTAAAGGGAAGCAGGGAGGGAAAGAAAGAGGGAATAATTCCCACTTTCTTCCACACCTGTGACCCAGCAGCCAGCCGCCCTGGCTATTTCTCCTGTTAAGTGTGTGCGTGCGTGTGTGTGTGTGTGTGCACTCTTTTTTTTACGTGCGTAAGTCTCACAGGTTCTGGCACTCTCTATTTGATTGATGAGTCTCGGTCAGGCCTGGATCCTTGCCGTGGCCCAGGCCTGATCAGGCATGTTCTGGTTGTAACAATGCCATCAATATGAAGCTGACGGCTGAATGTGTGCATGTGTGTAATGAAACATCAAAATGAAGCCCAACATAACCCAGGAGGACGGGATGCTTTGGTGGAGTTTCCATTTCCTGTTTCTCTGAGGGGATTAAAGAGGAACACTGTTTAGATATAGTTCCCCTCATTGATTGGAATTTGAATCCCATTAATTAGCCCTTTCATGAGCGATCCATATGTTACTGTTTGACTAATGAACTCTCCTCTCATTGTTTTTCTTTCCTCGTTTCCGATTTAGTGCAAGGTCTGGTTTCCTGTCGCTCACAGATTGACCAAAAATCTGCTTGATATTTGATGAGCAGCGTTTGATGAAAGGCATTAGTGGCCCTGCATTATTTATGACCCTGGAGTGATGCATTAACTCATCAAATATGTACGTGTGCATTACATGAGAACGAACATGTCCCATAGCATGTCATATTGATTCTGGTGTGAGTTACGAGTCTCCTGCACAAGCCATATGAGGGGGAAAAATAACATTAGGTGATGGCACACTGAATTGCCTAAGAGCTTTATTGACGGCCTCCTTCTCCGGATGCTCGGTCACAGTTGAGAAGTAGCAGAGTTTTGAACTTGCTTGCTTCGACAGATCAAGGGGAGGGTGTGCACATGCAGCAGATTTTGTGTGGGAGTGGAGTGTGTGAAATAACGTGAGAGGAAACTAAGAAGCTCTGCCAGCTAACACTGTTAAAGGATTCGTACCAGCGTTGCTGAATTCTTTCCCTCATCTGGTTAGATATCACTTTACATCTCCCACAGACAACTTTATTTTCCGTTCACGGCTTCTTTACAAGCTCTGCTGCCCTCGTGGCCCCTCTGTCAGATCTGACGTGGCTTGCCTTGCAGGCGGTTATGTAGCAAACAAAATGATAAGTAAACTTTGCTAATGCCAAAACCGGTCGGTGATGATCTAAGGCGAACAGTGCAATTTAAAATGAATTACTCAGCTCAAAAATGCATTAATCTACGCTTCCTCACCTTATAAGACACTGTTCTCATTTAGTTTACATCAGGTTGAAAGTAATTACTGTGCCGGCCACACGCTATGAATTTATATTATGCAATTTTTGAGAGGCTAAGAAAAAGTTCATCATCACGTAACTGGTAAAAATGCAAGTTTGTTCTTCTCGTTCGTTCCAGTGCCTCAAAAGAGACTGCTTTAATCTCTGCTGATTTACTTTACTTTTCCACATTACCAACTGTTAGGAAAACTAAGCTGGTAAAATGAAAATTCTTCTTGAAAGTGCTTTCCCATGATTAGTATTCATAGTCATGGATAAAAATGAGTGTAAGTTAAATTGTTCCCAAGCCACCACAAACTGCTGGCAGCTGTTGCTGTCCCAGGTGACTTGTTTCATCTATAAAGACATGCGAGCCACCGTGTTACACAATAAAAAAAAACACAATGTGGGGAATTATACATGCTCATATCGAGTAAAAAGTCACCAGGGTGTTTTAGCTGCGGTTTAAAGGTGTCCTGGAGTATAAATATGCAAATAAAGTGGATTATAAGCTGGAAACGTCTAAATACTGGCATGGAAATGGGTGGAAGTCAATGGCATTAGTAAGACTATGCATGATTAATGCTGTAAAGTGCTTAAGTGTTCAGTGAAGTGAATGTAACATGTCCAATATCAGGTGCCCACAAGTGTTATGTCCATCAGACGACAGAATATATGCACAGATTTGATCTCGTTGATTCATTTAGAGGTGACATTTTCCAAAAACACAAGTGCAAAAATACCGCAGTGCATGCTGCAACTGTATATTTCCTTATTTTTGTGATGTTGACTCTGTTGTTGTTCACCGAAAGAACCCTGTGGCAAATGCACACACACTCATAGACACTCAGATAGAGAGAGAGAAAGAGAGGGAGGGCGATAGAGAGAGAGGTGGGGAGAGATATACACATAGGCAGAGAAACATGCAGTCACACACAGTAGCTCAGTGGGGGGAAGGTTTTAATAAACCCACAGTACCGTAGATCTATGGGGGCGTCTCGGGACCGAGCCAGGAAACCAGATGAACGTACCTGCCCCGGGGCACAGAGAGAAACAGTGAGGGTGGGGAGGAGGGGAGTGGAGGGGAGGAAGGGTGGTTTGGAGAAGCCACAGGCACATTATGTCTCTCATTGCCCTGACTTTTTTCTCTCTCTCCTGCCATCAGTCTCTTCACTCGCCCACACCGTCCGTCTCTGCTCACATCATCAGCCTCACGAAAGCGGCCATGCCCACAAAACACTGATGTGTTTGTCAGAGAAAATGCCCAATCACTTTAATAACATTTCATGCCATCTCTGCTTTCACAGAGGACTCGGAGTTTGTTTCTCAGTCGGCTGAATGCAGACTGTAATTTCAGACAAACGCAATGGAAATGCCGAGTGCAGCCAATCAGATTTAATCATGTATGAAGAAATGTAATTTTGGAGGACACCAGGGCAGGGTGGGTTGATACGGGTATTAGTTACTATGCAAAAAGGCGTGTCCATACTCCTCGAATATGAATTTATGAAGCCTGCTTGTGATTTCAATCTGACTAATGTATCAGAACAAACCCATCTGTGCAGCACTGACCCCTGAGGTGAGGGTTTGGGGGGGCTAGCAGGGAAGTAGAGTGAGCGTGGGCGGCTGGTTTATGATCCCATAATGATCCAAGGTGGTCAGTGAGATAGCAAATGAATTCTTTTACCCATATTTGTAAAAGATGCGAGAACAAAGAGAAAAGACAGAAAGAAAAACATACCTCCAGAACAAGTTCCATGGGAAAAATTTTATTTATCAATATGCGGTAGTTTCCAAACTGGTGGAACGTTATTTCCATTGTAGCTGGTGCCAATAGGTTACGCTGAGAAGCGGCGAGAAAGTGAGTGGCAAAAAAAAAAAAAAAAAAAAAATTAAAATAAAATAACAAAACTTGACAGTTATGATTCAAACAAAGGGAAACAAATTCAACAGGTTCTGCTTACACATGCACATTGAAAAATAATACTGTGGCTTTGAACAATAGCAGAAATCAACCTACAGTGAGGCTCACAACATGAGCCAACATCTTGGAGCTAAATTAGGAAAGCAGGGTGAGAGCAACTTTAAAACAAACGACCGCCTGGGAGATAATGAGTGGTGTAAACCGGGTGATTTATTGGCGAGCGCAGAACGGTCACACTCTCAATCGTGGCCTCTTTTTTTTTTTCTCCCTTTCCTCCTCCGTCTAGCACGATAGACTTATTAAAAACCGAGAAAAGATTAATCTTTTTGGACCAAAATGTTTTTGTTACATCTTATAATGGAGTGGAAGGTGTAGGTAACTGAAAGGCAGTGGAATAACACAGTCTTCATATGCAGAGCTAAGTGCTGTCTCCAACAGGGAAGTGGCCTTATCATTCATGGTTTCAATGACCTATCCGTTTCAAAGCTGTGCGCTGACAAAGCTTCAGTCCTGAACAGTTGCTGAACAACTCGAATCCCGTTGAATGGCTATGTAAAAACTCTGAACCCCATTTATTCAAACACGTGTGGTAACAAAGACTTTTTGACAATACTGGACGCTGCAAAAAAAGACAGCTCATGTGTCCGTTGCAATATTCAGTTTAACTCTAAAAGAAAAAGAAAATAAAAACATATTGCAAACAGAGACAAAAATGCAAGGATTCATACAAAACACACTTTAAAAAGACAGCTATTTACAAACATCCTCCATTACAAAAATCTAATCTTAAATTTTTCTTATGAGCAGTGTTCAGGTGAAATTACATCTTAAATTGGGCTCTATCCATATATTTACATTTCTCTCTCTTTTTATTTTTTCTTCCAAAAAATTGAATAACATTAAGTGGTCACAAGGATGAATAAAAATGACATATGGTTGGTGGTAGTTTGGTAATGACTCCCTTGGCTGGTGTAGGTGAATGGATGCGCACCGATCCGAAACAAAAACATTTGATGTCGATGTGTTTCACAGAGGGCCACTGAGGGGCTGCATGCTGAGTTAAAACACAGGACCACAAAAGCAAGAGCAGCTGTTTAGGCTGTTAACTCAGAGGTTAACGACACGCAAAAAGCCACTGGAGTCTTCCCCGAGTCTTCAAGCTGGGCTGCCTTTTAACTCAGCAGTGTGTATCCGTGGATGGCGATAGTATGGGGCAGAGGATGATAGGTGTCTGCCGGTGAGAAAACGTCGACTGGCAGTCTGACCGTCTGACTGGAGATAAACCTGGACTCGTCAGTCTTGGTGTGTTTGCGCGTGTGTGTGTGCGCACATGTGCGTCAAAACGTCAGCTCGTGTCTGTGCTGAGGAATAGCTGTCCTTATCTGCTCCCCTCTCCTCTCACACATCATTAACTGGGACTGCGGCGCTCCATACTTTGGCAGCCACACTGTTTGGAGCACCTAGTTTCAATCCCAAAACAAGACTGTTTGTCTGCTCCACCACAGACGCATTCGCAAACACACACACACACACCAGCACACACAAACAGAAAAAGCTGCAAATATAAGCACAAATGAGCACTCGCACAAAGATGCACCAACATGTGCACGCAGAAAGATTTGAACACCATCAAGCACCTGAAAGCCAGCTTTGGTGTGCGCACGCACACACACCCAGCTGCTGTAAATCCTGTCTCAGCGCTGCTGCCCTGGGCTGTGTGATAGCTGAGCTGCAGTGTCCTCTTCGCTGGCTGAACACCTTGACTGTGGAATATCCTGCACAGCATTTTTATTCACAGCACAACTGGTGAGAGGATGGAAAAAAATTAATGCTAAATTACCAAACCCCCCCAACACCTCAGCCATCACCCCCTCTTATCCCCATCAACACCGCCATCTTCTTCTAAGGTTAAAGCCAAGTCACAGGAACATTCTCTCGCTCTATCTCGCTCTCTCTCTCTCCGGCTGGTGAGTGTGGGCACCGAGATGGCACATAGATTAGTCACACGCCGGCGAAGCCACGACTGCGCACTCCACCGACTCATCTACAGATGGCAGCCAATTGGCATCTGACAATACAGTATCCCAGCCGTAGCTCTTGCCATCCAACTTATATTTAGGGCATCCTACCTATGTAGGCCAGCCAATCAGCACCAACCTGCGCCCAACGTGCCCAGGCAGCAGGCACCAAATTAAGTGTTTTTACGCTAACAATGTAGCACCAGGACTAGAACAAACAAATAACCTGCCTGCTGCCGGTAAGCTCACACAACCTCCGATCGGTGCCAAGTAGAGCACAGGAAGGGTGTTGTGAGATCCAGGGCTTGTCTGTCTGTCTGTCAGCATGTCAGTCTGTCTACCCTGTTTTTGCAGCCTGTGATACAGTAACAAAGTGTTCTACCCCGAAGTCAATAAGTCAGCCCAGATACAAAACTAGTCCTGACATGCCCGAACACTCACACTCGTACACACTCACAGAGGGCGCACCCTCAAATACACACAAGTAAGTCATAAATACCAGAGAAATGGTAAAGCTCATATCAGACCAGTGGAGAAGGGAGAACTCCGAGGAACACACACACACACACACACGAACACATACACACCTCCAGATCAACAGTCCAGGTCAAGGTACGATCTCAGGAAAGAAAGAATGAGTATAATGGGTGATATGGTTGGTGAAAGATGGAGTAATATTGGTGATCTATTCAACTCTATACATTGTGCACTTGTAGGAAAAGTCTAACAAAATACAACTGCTTTGTGAACTGAATCAGGGTTCGAGGAAATCCTCCATCAAAAATAGTAAGTAAGGCAAACATCAGAGGTGCGAAGGGAGAGGAACACATCATTTCACACACTGTGTCTGATACCTGAGCTATCTGGAGAGTTCCCTGGCCCAGCACGGAGCCCTGACTAACACACACGCACGCACGCAGACACACACGCACACACACACATTTTGTTCTTGCACACAAACTGCAGGCTGAGTGGCATCCAGGGCCTGTGTCTGCCTGCTCCTGGCTAGTGTGCTAAGATGGTGTGTTTAATTGGGTGTAGCACAGACTGTACTCCAGGGAACTGAGATAAGTTATATCCTGCCCGTTAAAGGGGACAGCGAACCAGGAAGCTAGAGTTCCATCTGTTGGTTCGCTTCAGCCCCGCCCCCCTTTCAGAGCGCATCGAGGAGGTGTAGAAGGTGGGAGATGAGGGGAAGGAGGAGAAGGAGGAGGAGGAGGGGGAAGGGGATTGTCAAACAACCCAAACAAACAGAATAAACCTCTCTCTCAACAGTCAGCTCACAACCCCGCCGGTTACTGGTCAGTGTGTGTCTCTCCAGATTTGTGCAGCAGGTGGTAGAAATAACATGGGCTCGAGGGAAGCTTCAAGTCCCATCAAATGCAAAGGAAAGTGTCCTTCCCAAGAACATAAATCAAGCGCTCCTCTCATTCTCTCTCCTGACGGGGTGGCAGGCTGTGCGGAGCGTGTCAGACTTTGTAGTAGATGTTGGCGGGGCTCTGCGGGGGCATCTCCTGGACTATGTAGACAGGATGGCCATAGTCGCCGCTCACCTTCTCATAGTGAGGGCAGTAGTTGTTCTCTGTCCGCAGCGGAATGATGATGTCACTGGGCTCCGTGCCAGCCGTGCCCCCGGGGAGCTTGGGATTGGACAGCGTGCTAAGTGACAGCGCTGAAGGGCGGGGCTGTGAGTGGGCATTTTTCCTGGCGCGCTTACGCATCTTGATGAGCAGGATGACGAGGAGGAGGATGAGCAGGAGGAAGATGATGCAGCCGGCGCCAATAAAGGAGAACACGGCCACTTTGGAGCCAAGGATGCCATCCGAGTTTGCGGAGGAGCCCTCATCCTGATTTACTTGGTCTGTTGAGAAAAAAGAGAGATAAGGCTAAGAGAGTGTGCAAAAGAAAAAAAAAAAAGGAAAGAATAGGCAAGGTTAGGAAAGGATGAGGACCGCAGAGAAAAAGACGCTGTATTTCTGTTTTATGACATCCAAAAAGATAAAAAAGAGGCACTTCAAAAGGTGGTTTTCATGGGCTCTCTTTCTGTTGTATGCACACAGTATAGCATGTGGTGAAAATGTACAGCACAGCTCCGCTTCAGGTTCACACATCTGGTGGTTATAATAACAGTTCATTTCACCGCTCTTTGTTCAAACATTGAGAGTAGCTGTATTCCTGAAATTTTTTACCATAAGTTTATTATCTGAGACACTCGATATAGCAGATTGTTTTTGAGACAAAGTGTGAGCCTCCAAAGAAAACATTTAAAACATAAGGGAGGTCCTTCCTTGCTTATTTAGAGAGAGATTTGGCATCTCTCCCCACCCAAATAATTTTCCCGCAGCCCCTTGGAGACTGCAGAACAAACAGAAGGGCAGCAGCAGTTACAGTAAGCCGGTCCTGACCTGTCATCTGCAAATCTTACTGTTCTGTGCCTAAATCAACTGTGATCACATCTCCGTTTGTTGTTTGCTTTACATGAGTAACAGCCCCATTGATGTAATCTAATTGAATTAGCTCCATCAAAATAGCCTCCTAATGAAATCCGCAGCCATCACTCAACACGACAAAGATTCCTGCCCTGATACTATTGAGCGGGGGCCGCTTGTATGACATATCAAGGCCATGTTTCTATGGCAAAGGCCAAGTGAGATATGTTTTAAAAAAAATAAGGCGGGCATATCTGAACATCTGATTTTATTTTATCCCTTTGTCAAGCAAGGGGGAGGTTGGGGGAGGGCTGTTACTGGATGAGAGAGGGAGAGAATGACTGGCTCCTCCAGTGACTGAAATCCGAGAAGAACCAAATCTGTTTTCCATGTATGCATGCAGCTGCTGCCAAAGAGCAGCACTCACCTCCTCCTCCTCCTCCTCCCAGCACCACCACCACCTCTTAACTGTCCACGACCCTCACACACACACACTCACACAGACAAAGGCCTCATACCTCCAGAGACTACCATCCTCACTAATGACTGTGTCTCCGCACTCTGCACTTAACCATTTATTGAGGAGGGGGATAACTGCGCCCTATGTCTTATCACGCCTAAATGACATCACTGAAAACTACTTATTCCAGCCTTATCGCTGAAATCAGAGGCGCGAGGAATTTCGTACAATCTGGGCAGTGAGGAGAGCTGGAGAGATGCTGTCAGACGTTTCATTCCTGAAATATCAGCTCCTCAAACCACAATGACACGTCCTTCATTCCACCCTCCACTCCTTCACTTGACATAATCACTGATCTAACAATGGCAGACAGGTAAAGCTGGGGTTTAGGGAAAAAGTGACATTAGGAAATCTTTTTATAGAGCAACTAATGTCAAATAAGCAACTCTTAAATGAGGATGGCTTATCACATAGGGACAGGCAGAGCGGCTTGTACTCGGAGGAAGTTTGTGGCAAAGTTGTGGAGTAAGTCAAAAAGTTGATCCCTCCTGTGGAAAGCAGCAGCTCTGAAAGGTGCTGTGAACACAGGAAACAGGGAGGGCCCAGAGCATCCACGCAGGCTCGAGTGACTGCCTCAATTATCTTTGCTTTTAATCTTCATTTATTAGCAATTCTAATGAAGTTTAAAAAGATATATAATAAAGAGCTGCGTCTTTGAGTCTCCTTGGGTGCGGCACTCCCTTTGAGCTCAGTATGAATGAGGAAAGTGACACAAGTTTAGCTGCATTTGCTGAAGGTGCTGTTTCTTTTTGTTTGGAAGCAAACCGCCTTTTGTTGCTGTTATTTTATTCCCAGCAACACTGGTTTGAACACCTTTTTACAATGTTGACCCTCAAGAAATCAAAGGAACGCCTGCGGCATAAAAAATCCATATAAGAGACTGCTTACATAGGGAAACTCAACCGTAATTTTTATTTTCTCTTCTCAGGCTAATTGTGATTAATTATTAGAGAAACCCTTGAGGCTGTGAATATTCTGTTTTTACATTTCAAAAACCTTTATTTTACTAAAATATTTGCACTCCAGAGAGTAGGAGGCAGTATGCAAAGAGTGTGAAGCCGCTGCACTTGGTGTTTATTTGTGTCAATCTGCTCACCAGGGTTTCCTGGCATTGCGGGTCCAATCCGGTCCTGGTCGGACGGACTGGGACTGGACTCTGGTATGGCGTTGTCTTCTGGAGTCTCCGGCTCCATGGGGTTTGCTGCATTTGGGACTGTGGGAAACAAAAAAAAAAACACAAAGAAACTCAGCCTTGGCGAGACACATGCGCTGAATGACAATGACTTGTCCCTCTGAATCTGTGAGGATTATTTTTTTATCATCTTCTGATATGTCTTTTATACACAGAGAAGGTTATCTTTGCATGTGTTGAAAGCGTCTTAGAAGTGGGGATGAAAGCACAAAAAGAGGAAGGACAAGTTAGCGAACGTCTGTGAAACACGCCAGTATCCCTGTCCTGTCGTAAAAAATGAGCCCACATCTACATCAGCAACTCCTTCAGCAAACACTCAGACAGGCATTTCCAACACTGACACATTCATGAGAGCGTGGAGCACACACATACACACACACATGCGTGCACACATATAAACCCACACCTAGGATATTCTTACAATACACTTAGGCATGGCAGAATGAGGGTAAAGTAGTTATATATTAACTTTTTATTGTTTTACATTATTCATCGCGTTAAAAGGCCATAATATGCCTTATTTATTGCCCCGGCTTTAACTCTGCCTGAAAGAGGCATACTTGTGAAGAGGAGAGAAGAAGAGCACAGGAAGGAGAAGGGGGGAGACGAGGGGGAAGAGGAGGGAGGCTGCATAAGCTCTGAGGGGGACGCAAAGGAAACAGACAGTTTATCTGTCTGTCTGTTGTGATTTCAGCACACGCACTTTGAAGTCTTTGTGCGGTAAACACTGGTGGGTCCGCGGCGTGGCTTTTACGAGGCAGGACCGGCAGACAGAGGACAGTTACAAACTATTACCGAGGCTGGTCTGACGGATTCCACAGCACTCTATCAGATGCTTCTCCTCTATCTGGCCTTATCTGCATCTGCCCGAAGGCCTGCTCAAGGGGTGTGTGTGAGAAATAGAGAGGAGAGTGTGTGGGGAGACAATTTACATTTTAGTCCCTCTTGGCTTGCGTGTGACCGTGCGTGACTGTGGATGTGTGTGTGATTTTAAAGAGGACCTGACTGTCTAGCTTGACTATTTTTCTATTTCCACCACTGTTTGGCTGAGATGCGAGTAAGGGAAGGATTTTGGTGTGGGATGTCTGGAACACATGAAGGATTGAAGAGAAGCAAAAATGAGTGGAAAACACGGGAAGAGGAAAGACAAAGAGGGCCATAAATACATGCGCTGCATTTTTTCTTTTGGCGTTTGGCAAAAAATAAGCACACTATTAACAAATTGATATCCTCTCCTCCTCTATCCTCTCCGTGTCCAGACCACCGCATTGCTCCACACTGATTGCAGCAGCGGTGAACTTAGCCGTTAGCTGTTTTGCACCGTCAATAATTGATGAGAAAAGACAGGAGTGAGAAGTGGCAACATTCATGTGTGGCAGGGGATACGAGAGGACACAGTGATCTGATTCACTGTCGTGCGTATAGCCCCGACTGTGTGTGTCACTGAGCATGTGCAGGGAGCGTTCTAATGTTCTGACCCATTTTTCTGTGTGTACTGCTGACATTTCCCTTAGCTATGCAGACAGCAACTACCTCAGAACTGCCAAACCGCCAGAAGGAGGGAGAAGGCGGAGGGGGGAGGAAGAGGAGGAGAAGTGAGAGAAAGAGAGAGGGAGACAATGATCGAGCGAAAGGAGAGGGATAAGAATATGTTAGGAGGGGTAGAAGGAGAGAAAACAAGAGGGGGGTGCGTGCTAGGCGGTGAGTCAACATATTTTTAATGAGCATTGTGACATGATGTGGTGGAGGGGAAAGTGAGTGCACAACAGCCATGGATGGATAAAATATGCTCTCCTTGTGTTTCCCCCCTTCAATCAATTTCACTTCCTCTCTTACTTTATATTTTTCATAAAGACAAAAGGCGGAACAACCCGGCATTTAAAGTACAATTAGATATCGACGTGTCAGAGTGCATCATTTCCCCGAACAGTTGATTCAACGTGATTGCGCCTGGGAGTGTCGCCACAAAAATGTAACAATAAAAGAATGTGCACACATCACGCTCCGGGGTGAGTCGCCCAAAAATATAATCCACAGAGCAAAGTGCAGAGGAGTGCAAGTGGACAGATGGGAAGATCTTGGAGACTTGGCCACAGGAAGTGTTGGCATTCAGCTGCAGAGACAGAGGAAATGTGGCTTAAACACAATAGCAGCTGGGGTCAGAGCAAAGAGGGGCCCAGAACTTCTTTTTTTTTTTGTGCTTGTTAAAACAACATCTAGTGGAGCTGAAGGAAGATTTATAGGGTCGTAAATTATTACTGCTTTCAATTTTCATTCATTTTTTAAAGTTCCTTTTTAATTAACTGATCTGGCTTTTACACCGGGAAGAGTAAAATCTCAAAGAGGAGGGATTACGCGAGCTATCTCTTCACACTTTATACAAGTCAAATTCACCTTACAATTCCAGATGGAACATTTCATTTTACAAGCAAAACAGGAGGCCAGAATGACTTTTAACAAGTCAAAGCTGCCAGGACAGCCAATAAAATTCACCTGATTGGTTTCTCAAAACAAGAACTATCATGGTAAGACCTTTCGCTATCACTGTGGCTCAGCAGTAGGCTCCATAGTCTCTCAATCCCAAGGTTGAGTTGGCTGTCTGAGTGTCCTTGGAGAGGACTCTTAACCTTAAACTGACCCCTGTGATTGTACCAGTGGTGTGTGAATAGGATTAGTTAATACTGCCTGTAAAGCAGCTTCTGCTGTCAGTGTATGAATGTGGTGTGAATGGATGAATGTGACATGTACTGTAAAAGCTCTTTGAGTGGACAGAAGACTAGAGAAAGCACCCCATAAACCAAGTCTACCTACCATTTAACGAGAGAACCAGAAAATGTTTGTCTTGTTTGGACAATCGTTCACTGTGTCAGATCACTCTAATGGATTTTATGCCCTTTCGTTACTTCGGGGATGTGATTGACAAAACAGAAAGAACAAGAAAACAAACAGAGCCCAGAGCAGGTCAGGGGCGCGTGTCGACATTTAACTTCACTAATGAATAACCCAAGACTTTGTGTCCTCCATTCTAGTGAAATCTTCTGTACAAATTTATGTCTCAAGATTTCTTATTTGTTTATTCCCCATTGTCTTTTGTTCTTCGATGTGACTTCTCTCTTTGTGCATCTGACACCAAATCTCATCAAGGAGAACTCTTTACTCACGACTAAGGCAAAGTTAAGACATGGTTTTAGGACATATAAATAGCCAATTAAGAGATTTTTAACGATACAGTTAAGAAGGTTTTTGCTTGATTTATAAAATGCCACAACTTTTCAAAGGATGTTCAATTAATGATTGATCCACATTGCCAGCTGTTACTGAAACTTCTTTGGAGAAGACTTTACCTCCCAAAGCAATTCTTTGCAATGCTTTGATTTTGAAACATAGTTTTTTTTTAGGTTGAGGATGGGTTATTGCCTGCACTATAAAACTATGCATTTATTTTGAAGGATAAGCTACCTCTGGTCAAGCGTAGGTTACAGAACCTAAAGAAAAACTTTAAAAAATGGTAAGAAGTGTAAATGTTAAACTGATTAGTAATCCAAAAAGGCACATGCTCTTATATTGTTTTGGGGTTCACAATAAATCTTTCAATGTTATGCTTCCGAAAAGTGCCTGATAATCTCTTAGGGAGCTAGTGAGCTAGCAACCGCTAGCAACGGCTCGCTAACTTTAGCCAACATCAAGAACCACATCTATAATGCCACAATATGACTGTATCCTTTTTTTTCTAGCACAATATCAATATTTCTTTTTATTCTTTTTTAAAGACAGTTATCGAAATTGACAAACTTTTGAGTTCTGATCTGACAAACATATTACGTAACTTTGGAGAATGGTCAGCAAATAAACATGAGAGGGCCAAGAGGGCTGACAGCTGTCCTCATAAGATTATTTTGAACTAGACACCAACAAACATCTTTATCTGCTATCAAATTCTAATGGGTCATATAAGAATTTTAGATACTTATAGGAGAATTACATCCCTGTTATTTACTCAAAAAAGTCTTCTAGCCCTCTCTTCTGTCGTTAAGATGATCCTCCAAATAACATGGTTGTTCATATTGGGGGAACAGTGGTGGAGGACTTATTGGGATCAAGGATTTACTCCATTAAAGTAAGCAAACTCACCCTGTAAAAACACACTATGACAGCTAAAAATGTCTGTATCTCCATGAGCTCATGCTTGCCAACATCGTGTTTTTTTGTGTTTTCGGAAATGTCACGGACAGAAACATTTATTGATTAATCCATAAAATAATCAGTTTCAGCAGATGAATCAATGATGAAAAGATCATTGCGTGCAGCCCTAAGGTCAACTTCTCTCTGCAGTGTGAAAACAATCATTTAGTACACCACTGTGAAATCAAAGTTTCGGTCGATGCTCTATTTTCTCATGTCCTCTCCTCTTTTAGTTACTGGGTTGGAGAGACGAATTTTGCATCAAAAATTCCACTCACAGAAATAGCATTAAAAGTAGTAGCAGCTGGGCCGACAGCATCTTTTCTAACAAGGTTTATAGGGCACACTGATTGTGAGTGACAGCTCGCTTCGGACCGCTTTTGGAAATGAGCGCACAGCTCTGGCGAAGTTGAGGAACAGCCGGCAGCCACAGAAACAGTGTCAGGCTGAGAAGAACTTTCCTAGAACTTTCCTCGACATTTCCTTTCAACACTCATTAATGTGAGTTCAGGAATTTCTTCCTCTCCTGGTTAATGGTTTTGTGTTAAGGCCTGTTTTGCAACTGTATTGTCATTTTGCGCGGGTGTTGCAATCCAGTGCTGCTGGATGCTTCAAATTGACCTACATGAAGAGATAATGCAATGCCTGTCTGTTTGTGAGATGGTTGTGGGTAATTTTCACTGTATCCGCTGAATTTGTTCCGACTCAGACCTTGCTAGCATCAGCAGCTTGTTAGCTTCAATTCTCCCACTGAGTGCCAGGATGCACTGCTGTCATCCAGCAAGCCGGCATTCAAATCTCTGCACACTAACGTGAACGCACACTCACTCACTGACACACACACACACACACCCAAAACACACACACACACACACTGAAGATTTCTCAGCTAGTATCATTTTTATTTTTGACATGTTGATATCCACTCGAGCTAGAATCAGATCATGGTGGTGGGCAGATGTTCCTCTCAGATGGCCGTTAAGAGTCTCTTTCTTTTTTTTTTTTCGGTCAAAACAACCACAGCGAAGATGGGGGAATGTTTACAGAGTTACACATCTGTGTACTGTACTCTGTCAGATGCAGGATATGGATGTCCACAAACTGAGTAAAACTCCATTTAAATGTGAAATGCATGATGCAAACCAAATGTTGTGTCCAAGAATATCTAAACAAAGCTTGCATGTTTACTTCCAGCATTTTTAGACGACTTACCCGGACCACTCACTGATGTACCAAATTCAAACAACTTTCGCTCTGTGATGACTGTGAAACAATCGGCTTAAGAAACAGCTGAGGATCATCAAAGGCCTTGTTACAATGTGGAAGTGAAGTCATTACTTATTTGGATGTTCTTTCTCGATGATCTCACTTTTTGTGCTAACTGTTTATGTGTGCAAAAAGGTTTATTCAGCACTACTGTAGAAGACTAATAGAGGTTTACATTGACGGCAAGATATTGAAATATAGTGTGATTTTTACCGGATAATCATTTCAGAAACTGATTACACCCAGGGAAAACAGCTGGGACAGAAGTGTTTTTAAATGGGAGACTTATGCTTTACTAAATACCTAACAAATCACAGAGATTCGTAACATTGAAGCAGAAAAGCTGTAAATCCAAAGCTGCAGTTCATAAAGCAACCCCGCACAATGATCTATGACTCTGTTTGCTATAGGGCCTTATACAACCAGAGACGTCTGAGCCATATAACTGAATGATATCTTATGATATCTTGCCTTTGATGGTAGATACTGAAAGGTTTAAAAGGACTGGCTTGAAAAATCTCTGAAAAACTTGAAGCTGTCGTTAATCTCAGAGTTCAATGTAAATAGTAATATTTTTTAAAAGTTGGCGTCAGCTTGGCATCTTACATAAAGAACAGAAAATAAACAGTATTATGGGTAAGGAGTTTTTTTTGTGTCAACGGAGGATGTAAAATCTACAGATTTTATCGATTAAAAACAACTGATAAAAGCTGCTTTTATCAGCTTCTGTACAGAGCCGACACATTCTCAGTTCGCAGTCAGAACAAGAACAAGCACAGCTTCAACAAGTCGACAAGTAAAATATTCTCACCTGTGTGTGTTTTTTACTGTTTCAGAGGACGATTACACAATTGCTATGTGCAAAACAAGTACCTGCTAGTCTGAGAGGAGCATGAATAATCTTTAAGTTTGAACACAGTCACCTAAAAAGTTGTCATTGCAACAAAGATGTACCAAAGAAACACAAAGCAGCAAGAAAAGAGTCCCACATAAACATGTCAACAGAGGATTTCAGTATCCAAATCCCCCACCGTACTTTGCGGATGCTGCCTGTGATCTTTACACACATCCAGACTCTGAACAACAGCGATGCCAGTGACGCAAGTTTTACCACAAACATATGGACTTTTGACGTTAGCTCAGTTAGTGTGCTTATTTGGATGAAGACTTTACCATGAAAAAGACATTATGACATGAACAGGAGCACTCTGGTTATATACTCTGGTTATAGTTAGAAACAATAATGACAAGTTAGAGTCAGAACTCCTTGTTTTTTTGTGAACAACAGTGATTACAGATAGAATCGTTACGCATAGATTACCAATGTATGTGCATGTCTTAGGCTTTGTTACCGTCAGATGTGCATAAAATACACATTTTATATAAAAGAGTGTAAAATAACAAAACATCACTCATCTTAGGAGTATTGGCTTTTCTGGCATGTCGTGTTCAGTTATCAGAAATGGCTCCAATAATTAGAAAGCTACAAAATGATCGATATGATTCAGTTTTCACCATAAACTTATATATCTCGTTTTGATTTTTCATTTTAATCAACCATGGTTATTCCATGATCTATTTACTTCAGTGTAAAACATACTGTATATTAACTGTGGTACCAATTATATGTGCTTTTAAGAGAATACGTTACTCCTCTCAATAGGAACTGATTAAACTCTTTGGTCAAAAGTGAGGAGATGCGACTAAATCTAAGAATAAGACGGTAAGTATACCTCAGTGAGGGTCTTAGTTCAAGCATTTGTCTTAACATGCCCAGGATGAAGATGAATTCAATAAATTTTCATCAGTTTGACACAGTAATACAGAGTTATATGTATTAACCGCATACATATTTTATGATGCACAGTGGGAATTTGTTCATATGTAATTAGATCTCTTTGAATTGCTGCTATATGACTCAGTACTCTGAGCCATTCATAAAGAGAATACTTATCACGTTTTATGTCAATTTTGATGAAAAATTAAGCCAATTACAGGAATGCGTACAGTAGTTAAGATTAACAAAAGCTTTTTAAATTTAAATAAAGAAGTAAATGATAGAAGTAGATGATAGTTTTTCTCCCCCCTGCACTGGATCAATGCTCTATATAATTTTGCAATAATGAGTTTAATAATGACCATGATTTTTTTATGTTTATTTCTATAATTTATCATTGCCACTAGTATGGAGTAGTGGGATTTGTCTCGGTTGCTTTAAGGTTAATAAAATGCACATTTTTGAGAAATAATATATAAGAAGATCAAGGTTTCTGTTTCTGTTGTGCATCTCATCTTATAAGCTCATGAAAGATGGAAAACAGAAGCGACTTCAAAAAATATGAGATGCATTTCGACTTTTCTAACATAGAGCCTTGATTTTTTTGTTTTAAAGATGGATTAATTTGAACATATCACTGTGACACTAAAACCAGATTTATCATCCATGTCTCCAAAAAAATATTGTACCATAAAGGAAAATAAAAATATTATCACCGGCAGCAAATTCATTTCACAACTTTCCCGTTGAAGAGAACAGGACCTGTCAGAGGCCGGTGGCGGACAAAGTCACGCTTGGCACACATGGCGATAAATGAGAATGTCACAGCAAAGTGAAACATGGCTTTAAGGCAGCAGCCCCTGTATTGTGTTCTACATGTGAGGTGAGCGCACATTTACCTTGTCCGACTTTCATGATGACTTTCATGGCTCTGCTCTTGCACACACCTCCCTCCCGGTTCTCCAGGCCCTCCACCGTACCGTTGGAGGTTGCTGCAAGAGGAGGGTGGGAGGGAGAAGAGAAGGGGTTGAAGGACAAGAAGAGGGAGGAAAAAGAGGAGGAGGAAGAGAGAAGATGACACACTGGTTAATGAGCACGTCCATAACGCACCGAGCTAATCAATATTTACGACAAGCACTGATTAGCTGTTCCAGTGATTAGCCGTTCTCACCCTCAATCAAGCGCCAGCTCCTCTCTACGGTATCTCTCATTAACACAATAAAGTGAAGTCAAATAAATGGAACAACATTAGAACCTACAGAGGGAGGCTGGGCGCTGAGGTGAAGACAAGGAACATGGTCAGACCTGTGTGTGTCTGTGTGAGTGTGTGTTTTCTGTCGGAGCATAGTTTAGCAGTGAGACATGCCAGTGAAAGTTCCAGCTGCTTGCCAAGTCCTGGAGCAGCTTACTCCCTCTGAGCCACATGTGTCATTACTTGCTGCTGGTGCTGATAGCTAAATGCCTCCTTAATGTTTGTGCGTGCAAGTGTGTGAGTCCATTTTTATATACAGACGCATTTCTCCGTGTATGTGTGTGTCTGCCTCCCTCCATTTGTTTCAAAGTGTGTGTTCTGGTGTGACTTGAGCGAGGGGCTCAGGGTCGAGGGTTGTTTATTTAATGTCACATTCACTTCAGACGCTGTGACACAATTGGCTGTCTATTTTAAAGCCCATGATAATGACCTAAGGAGACAGAGTGTGACTCTGACCTTAACACTGAGCAGCTACACACAAGACAAGTGGTGTATATGTGTGTGTATTTGTGTGTGTGTGTGTGTGTGTGTCTGGCCTGTGTGGGCGCATGCGATGGCAGCTCTAATTTTGGAATTCCCCAAATGATCTCCATCTCCGCTTAGTCTGCTGTTTTAACTCACTCCCTTCCTTCGATATGCTTTTGTTTCTCTTCCTGAACTGCCCGTCTTGGTCTCTCTTTCTCTGTTTTTCCGCTCACTTCATTTAGTTTTTATCAGCGTATCTGACTCCAGCCCTCCCCTCCCCTCCCCTCTTAACTCAATGACCATCTCCCCTGGGTGATTGCTTCAGATGGCACCCTCATTATGATGAGATAGTCTAAAGAGAGGGTGCTTATCTAATGATGACACAAAGGGAGGCAGACTAAGCTACAGGCTGTTTGACTGGGAGGGGGCTGGGTGGGTCCAAACTGGGATCTACAAATTCTGTAACACTTACTGTTGCCGGCATGATCTTTCAATGTTGCTACAAACATTATAACTTGATGGTGTATCAAGCCGCGTTGAAATCTGGCTCTGCAGCGGCGGAAAGGCTCATCTAGTTGATTCATGCCTTGTCATTCCTAAGTATTATTAATGTTGACATTTGCTGCCCTGTGGGAATTCAGCTTTGAGCTCCGGCGAAATTGAAGAAAACTAAATAATGAGTTGCGCTAATATTATGTTTCATTATCAGATCATACCCGGGCTCTAAATTTCAAGCAGAACCACAACATTTTGTTAGTGTGGACGGGGCGACGTGATAATTTGTGAGCAGGATTTGTGATAACATTGTGTCAGGAGTTCTATGCTGAATTCCCCGAGCTGTAGACTCAACATGCCTGAGTAAACTGGACGCTGAAATATATACGAGGAGACCAGCTGAGAGCCGAGAGCCGAGCAGGAACAAAAAGATTGCAAATTTGAGGTGGGACATTAATGTGAATGAACACTCACGGCTAAGTGAGTCTTATGATTTATGTAAAGTCTATGCAGGCAGAGAGCATGTCTTTTCTAAGGGGAACATTCAAAGACAGTGAGGTGAACAGGCCCTGACTCGGCTCTTTAAGGCGCACACAGCGTCTCGTAGCGCTGAAAGGCCCAGACGCTGCCACAAGTGCTGACCTCATCCTGCCATTTTCCACCCAATTTCTCCTCTTCTTTCAATTTTTTAAATTTCCAGGGCAAGGTTAGACAAAAATGAGCTCTTTGAAGATCGAGCTCAAAGGCGCTTAAATAATCTTACTAAGAGTGAGCGTCATGGTATGAATTTTATATTCACCCAGGGAGAGCAAATCTTCCAAGTGTTAACTTACTTCTGTCATCTAAATTAACTACTCCTTCAGGCTGGCTGAACAGGCTCCTGCATCACTGATGTGGCATGATGATAAGTTGGCCCTTGAAGGCTTCTGTTTAGGCAAATAACTGAAAATGAGCTGGATTTATAAGGAGATGATTACTTTACATGTTGTTTGTGTTCGCACCATTTAAATGTCAGATGATTCAAGACCTTCACCGAACCACTGGGAGTGTATAATCCGATTAAACGTGTCCAATTTTAACTACATTTTCCTTATTTGAATTAAGTGCTATTCAAGATTTCTACAATTGGAAATCATTCACAGAAACACAAACTGAACCTGAGTGTATTAAAAAACACAAACAGAAGACTCCTGTTTTTATCATTTCAACCGTTATCTGCTGTCGGTGTATTTACGTCTGTCATGTCGAGTTCACTCAAAAATAAATGAATGCCAGCCAGGTTACAGACATGCTCTAACCCTACCAGGCAACAAGAACACACTGCCAGCTTGTTTTTTTTTTTTTAATCTGAAAGCCTCTCACTCACTCTATCTCCGCTTCTCCACCCTCTCTCTCTCTCTCTCATTTCATCCCTACGTTCTGACGCTAATCCAAATCTGGATTTCCAGATATTAAAAGGCCGACGGTCATGGCGTGTTTTGGAAAGAGGAAACTGGGGAATTGGGTCTTCCTGCGAGTCTCGATGGAGATAAAAACACAAGGGGGATAAAGCAGCGACAGGACGGAGAACAAAGAAACAACCATTCTGCTGGTAATGATTTGGTGGAACAAAGTGGCTCAGCGTTGGCGGTCCGGGATACCAAAAAGACCGGTCATTGCATGAAGGAATGTTGCTTTTTTTGCAATACAGCGTTCGGCTCCAGAGCTGGCTTTTGGTATGATTTAAGGCCCTCCTTGTGGGTGTGGAGCATTGGCCACAGAGTGACTAGTGGGAGAACAAAAGATGTACAGCTGCTGAAGTCATAAGAGAAACCAGGTGCCAAATGTTGGGAAATATCTACAGTACAAATGTATCAGCCAAGAGCATTGTACAGGGGAAATAACTGGCCTGCAACAATGGCTCCTGATCCAATACCACACATATATATCCACTGTTAGCATATTAACATGCAAGTGTGAAGGCACAGCCTCGCATATACGCAAATACACACGGATTTTACAAGGACATTTAGGTGGAGTGAAAAGACGCTTCCCATGGGTGACCCGTCGAGAAGAGTGGGAGATGTGTGAAAGATGCAGAGCAGACTGGTCGGGATGACACCAGCTTAGGCTAGAGTGCGATGCAGTGGTCTATATTTATTCTCAGGTCTGCTAAATGAGGTCACTCAGGTGGTCCTGCTGAATACATTCCCCATCTCCATCATGAATCATCTGCTGCTTATTATTCCTGTCCAGCCCATGGGGGCTCGCTTTCATACAGCAGGACGGGGCTGTGTGTACGTGTGCGTGCGTGTGCTCCCCTGTCTGTGCGGGCGTGCGCGAGCTCTCGTGCACGACATCTGCCCAAAGCGCTGAACAAGAGGATGGATACAGCCCATGTGACAGACAGAGAGCAGGTTGTTTAATGAGAAAGTGGATGAGAGGTGACATTCATTGGCTACCTTTCACACACCGCCCCCCTATTCTCAACAGCATTCAGACTTCCACTTAGATGAGCCGAGCAGGCATTGGGTAGTCACAGTAACCACAGGCGATAATGTTCACATTTTCACAAAAAAAAACTAAAAGAGATAAATACATAAACAGGCACAAGCACCGTCTGATCACTCACACTTAGCATCAAGGAAAAACAGCAGCACACAGAGCTGTTTCATCCATTTGAGGCAAAGCAGGGTGCTACACAGAGCCGTGTCAGGTGTGTCTGTCTGCATCAAACAGAGCGGCACAACTGAATTGGCTATTTCTCATACCCATGATATTCCTATCTCCATTTTTGTTTACATTTGCAACCCAGACTCCAAGTGAGGGAGAAAGAAAAGAGTGCCTATTTGCACAAAATATTTCACTCCTGAATGAGCACAGAGAGGGTTAGATTAGGTTTATGGGCCTGATTCCAGAGATAACCCACCCCAGCAGATCTGGCATGCATGCGAACACACACGTGCACACACACACACACACATATACACATCCACACTTGCACAAACACATACAGAGTGGGGTTGGCAGACTGGAATAATACTGGGGGATCTAGATGTTTGCACTTTGAACCTTTTCTAATCCAGAGTATTAGGACATGGCTAAAGCCTGATTATGGCGGAATGAAATGGATCTAAATAGATGTCCCAGCCCATCAGCCTTCCATTTCTTTGTCCTCGAAATAGAAATGGAAATCAGTAATCAACCTCCAACCTCTCACTGCCGTCCCTCCCACATAGCCTCCTGCACAGGTTTGGCTTTGGCAAAGAAAATTCATTCAGACTTTCATATCATCTCGGATGAATTAGGCACGCTCGGCTCAGCCAATGTTTTCTTTGCCTGTTTCTTTACAATGATAAAAACTGGCAGACAATACAAAGTAGTCATATCTATGACACTAGAGCTGCATTTTCAGAATCCAATATTGAATTCGTATTAGTATAAATGTGGTTGTGAGTAATCTGCTTGGACACGGCTGATTTTCTGATCTTCATGTCTAACAATGGTGCTCTTTTCCGTTTAGTTTTTTTCACCTTGTAGCAGCTCTAGTATTAGTGCGTGTTGCCCGTTTCCCAGGAGTCCCTCTGTGCGTGAACGGCGAGCAGGTAGCAGCATTAGTGTCAGGGTTTAAGGTGGTTAGCGGCCCACTGCACACAACTGTTGCTCAGCTCACTGCTTCAGAGTACAGCCAGAGGGGGAGCTCCTCTCCTGTGCCCTGATTCCACTGCTCCTTCTCTCTCATGCACACACACAAATACACATACTCATACACACTAACAGACACGCAAGGGAACAGCAGGCAGCATACACGACAAATACAATCACGCTGAAAAAAGGTTGCGAAAAAATGTATGGACATGTAAAAATTTGGGCTAAACAGCCGCCAACACACACTGGAGCACAAACTGCGATGTACGTGCAAACACACATTCATACACGTACACACACACACACACACACTGGCTGCCTGTGTAGCCAGAAGATCAGGCAGGACTTAAGAGCTCCTCCGGCACCAAAATTACAGGGTACCTCTAAATCCTTCCAGCAGAGAGCACTATGGGATAGAGCGGGTTGGGGGAGGAGAGGAGGGTGGTGCTATGGATGGGTGAGGGAGGTAGGTGAAGTGGAGAGGTGAGTGTGTGTAGGGGTGAGGTGTTTAAAGAGGGGTTTGGAAAGAGGAGTGCAGGGTTTGTGGGGGTGCAGGAGAGGAAGCGGGAGGTTCCTTTTTTTGAAGACAGGAGAGTGTGCGGGCCGGGGAGGAGTGAGACTTGATCTGTCTGAAGTGGAGTTGCATGCGAGTGTGTACGTGTGTGTTCAAGTCTGTGTGTGTGTGTGTGTGTGTGTGTGTGTGTGTGGCACTGGGTGGGGGTGACTGTGCGTGCATGCATATGTCGGTGAGGGAATATAGAAGGAGGTGATGAAGTGAGGAGTTGAGAGAAGGAGGAGGAAATTTCAGTTTGAGAGAAGAAGAAGTGGGAGGTGATCGCTTTCTGTGAAGCAGAGGAAGCATATGCGTGTGTGTGTGTGTGTGTGTGTGTTTGTGTGTGCATTTGTGTGTGTGTGTGTTTCTGCCAGCTCTCTTCTGCCTCACTAACACTCACTATTTCTCTTGCATGCTCCCCTGAGTGCCTCGCTGTGTGTGCCTCTTGGCCTCTTTGCAAATGAGCATCTCTAGGTGAAGTTGTGTGTGTGTGTGTGTTGGTGCATTTATGTGTATTTAAGCGTGTATGCATGCTGGGACAGATATGTGTATGAGCATAATTTGTTCTCCTGCGTATAAATGTTAAAGTATTCAGGATTATGTGAGTTTCCCCATGTGATTTGTGTGTTTTATGTGTGCTTTTACGTGTGTGTGGTCTTTGCGCATCAGTCAAGTCAGTCCCAGATTACAGAGCCAAAGGTTGGGCATTACGGACTTTCGTGTCCGGCACCGCTGGGCTTGTGCTTCAGGACTACTTATGACAGCTTTTAACCTCTGCAGAGGACCTGTCAGCGCCTCCCAAAGTGTCTCTGTGTGTGTGTGCGTGTATGAGTGTGTCTATACAAGCCTCACAGTCTGCAGAGACACAGAGAGCTTCTGCATCATTTAGCTATGGGTGTCTTTGTGTCACCTCTCTAGTGGATCCAGCAGGGCAGAGCTTTTACACCACTGCACTTTCCACTCCCCATTTCCCAACTCAGCAGGCTGCAAAACCTCCTGCTCCTGGACACAGCACAAAACTTCCTATCGCGTCCACACACACACACACACACACAAAACATAGATTGTCCTATGAGCCGGGCCAGCACAAGGAAACACACTTAGACAGGCCGAATTTTCCTTTCACAAACCCATGCCAACACACAAACAACCAAAAGTACACACCGGGTGCAGGCCGTCTGTCGGATCGGGAGGAGATAAAGGACGCAGAATAACAGGCGGACCTTGGGGAGCGGAGCAAGTCATCTGTCTCAAACAGGAACAGACTGAGCACACTCCAACATGACAGATGCAGACAGACTCATCTAAGAGCACATTGCATCCTCAACCTTTCTCCTGCACTCTTGCCTCCCCCCTGCCATCCTCTTCCACACACACACACACACAAAGACACACATAAAATGATGAAGGGCGCCTGCTCAAAATGTGTGAGCATGCTCCTAAGCCAAAACCCCACATAATCTGACAGGTGTGCACCGAGGGAGTTCAGATCATAGAATTTTGTACCCGGTCGATTGGCACAATAAAACAAACTAACCTGAGGGAGGGAGACTTACAGCTTATAATACCATAAGCTGTTGCATATAGTATTAAAGTTATGAGAGGCAGCGACAGCAGCCCAGGCATCCAATAATAATTTCATAACCATCCTGCTTGTTAAATCCAAACCTACCTCGTCTCTCACTCTCTCTAATATGGAACATTTTTAGATATTAGCTTTTCAACTTTACCAGCTATTTCAGCGATAATGTATTCTGTTGTGTGGAGAAGTTGCCAGTAGCCCACACAACCCTCCCTAATGACAGAGTAGCTAATTGGATGTAATGGCTCTTTTCACCGATATCATCGAGCTGCAGCCGCAGAAAACCTCAGCAGTTTTACACAAATCATGTGCATGGTGAAAACAGGGGAAAAAGAGCCTGGAGAAGAGGCCTGCTGTTTCTCTTTTTGCTTCATTTGACCAGAAGTTGTATACAAGTAAAAAAAGCACATACTTAATATAACCATAAAAGGGAAGATTCTAGTTGAGGCGACAGAGACTGTTATTCTTCTTTGTTTGCAGTGAGCCTCTTTCCTTATCCATTAGATGATTATTTGAAAAAAAAAAAAAACTGGCACAGCCCTGGTGGGCACACACACATTAACACTTGAATACACAAGACTAGCAGGTGAACAAACAGGCTCTGAGAGCTGCACACATAAACAACACAAACAACATAAAAACCCCCAGCATGCGCACACACACGCATCAGAAATCCGCTCGCAGACAGTGCATCATTTGACTAATAGCAGCTGAAATGTTGCGTGTTCAGAGAAATAAGCAGAAGGCAGGAGGGAAAATAGGTCAGAGAGAAAAGACCAGCATTTCACCTTCCTATTGGTTAGAGCTAAAGGTTAGAAGACATGCAACACATACTGAAGCACACACACACACACAGACACATGCGCGCACACTCCCAGCACGCACACACACAAACTCCAAAAGCTAAAGGTTAATATTGTCATGTGGGAGTTGCTGAGTTACTGTTTATCTCATGCTCAACCAATGTGTGTGTATGTGTGTGTGTGTGTGTTTAGGGCTTGTGTGTGTGTGTGTAGCTATCAATGAGTACACGGAGTTTCATCCCTGCTTAAGATAGAGGGAGGGGGGTCCACTCTGGTGTTTCATTAATCCCATCATAGACCCAGTGTTTCCCTTATCACAGGTATTAGATGGCAAGATGCCCACTCCTCAACTGAATACCCACTAATCCACATCAACAATCAGTCCGCATGACTTCCTCGGTCTTGTAGCGAATAGCAGCACCGTCAGTTTTTTTTTTTTTGATCCTCCATCACTGCCATTCTTCAGTTAGCTGACTGATCACTTCATGCCGCCACTTCAGATGAAAAGCTGCACACCTCAGCCATATCCTCTGGCCCCCTCTGAGGTTAAGAGCATTCTGGGAAGTTATGCACAAAGGAGTGGAGCACGGTATTCAGTTTTCATTCTCCATTAACCATCATGGAGAGCTGGGGTTGTTGCCAAGAGAAACGGTGGACAAGAGAGACAATATCTGTTGACATTATAAAGGGTAAGTGCCCTGAGAGAAGCGGCTGCGAAGAAATATGTTGATAGATTTTTAAACACAAAGAAATTATGAGCTTATTGGATGTTTGAGATGGATTACAATCACAGCAGAAGCGATGAAAATAATGCATGCATCAAGGCCTCTAAATATGATTGCTTATGTCTGATCTCCCAACTGCAGGATTATGCAGAATTTACAGGATCTATTTTCTGAAAACTTGTTTAAAAAAAGAAAGGAAACATATGTACCCACAATCTTCTCATTCTGACTCACTCTGAATCTGTAAATATTTACACAAAGCAAGTGTTCTTGGCACTTCTAATTGTTATAAAAGTTTTCAACAGAGACAGACGGAGTGCTTTGTAAGTCCTTTAAAAGTCTTTGTATTAATCCTATAGCCTAATACAAATCCCAGTGGTTGTGTTCTTTAACTATGCAGTAACATCCCCATCAGTGGGTGGTATGGGTATCATCAGGTTACACATGTGTAATCAGCTGACAGATGCACACAGAAGGTCTCATGGTGAGGTTGTTACTCAGCAGGGGGCTCATTGAAGTTTTCGTTTTGCTTCATTTGCACTGATAATCACTTGAGGTGAACCATGGTTCACGCACTAAATCCCTCCAGATGATAAAACTGATCCTCTGCGTCTTTTCTCTGCCCCTTTGTGTTCGCCTACAAGGGTGATACGGGACTCTGGACTCTGGAGAAGAGTCGCCTGCCTGGAGCTGAAGGTCCACGAGCCACAAATCAGCCTGCGCTGCCTGATAAAAGAAGCGCTGGGATGGATCGGAATGCGGTGGGAGATAGTGGTGGCGTGTCAAAGGCCAGGAGGCACCAAAAAATCTACACTCACTAAAAAAGCTAATCTGCAGCGTTCCCCCCCTTCCCCACACCACCACCACCTCAACACACACACCCTGAGGGAACCGGAGCTGAAACCCTGGAACAAGTTAACCAACATGAACAGCACAGGACTAAATTTCCTCTGAGAACCAAACTGCGTGCGCCTGTAAAAGATTTGTGCTTGCAGCAGCTCAGTGTTTCTGTGCACATTTATGTAAATGTGTTTTGATGCCTAAGTGTGTGCCAATGTGTGTGACCACATTTGTGTGTGTGTGAAGCCGAAACACTGTGTCCATTCATTCTCAGTGGAGAGTGTAACATCATTTTCATTGACCTTTTCAATCGGGCCTCCAGAAGAGGGTTATGACAACCGAGCCAGCCTTATGTTCCCTCCGCACAATTACGCTCATCAAAAATGGGAAACAAACAAATAAACAATAACCCTTTCCGCGGGCTTACAACTGCAAATAGACGATGCGAAAATGACTCAATGGGGTATTCGGAGTAAAAGGGGATGATGCAGTGGTGCAGCGTGCAAGGAGAGACAAGCTGAGTGTAATAGCTTAGGTGAAAAAATGCCATCATGGTAAATGAGGCTGCCAGGGCAATGAGCAGGTCAGACACACACAAAAGGGAAAAGATTTAGTGCTGCAGCTCACTTTTTTCCTCATGTAGATGATTTCTTTTTCTTTTGGACGTTTTTCTCGCCAGAAAAACAGTGAAAAATGGCGACCGCAATCGCTAGGTCGTGATTCAAACCCTAGATTTTTTTGTCCAACCAGCAGTCCAAAAACAAAAGATGCTCAATTTACAATAATAAAAACAGAAAAGGGCAGAGTGTCCTCACAGTGGAGGGGGATGAAGAAGAGAGTGAATGTTTGGAGGGGGTTTTTTGGTGCTTGATAAATGGCTGAGAAGGAATAACGGACAAACCATTTCAGAGCAAAAGAGATTACAGCACTGCAGAGAGAGACAGAAAGATAGACAGAGAGAAAGAGAGATGTCAGAGAGAAACAGACAGTCTACTTGTTATTAAAGAGAGAGTCGATGTCAGCCCATCTGTTGTCCGCAAAAGCAAAATCTGCAAGCGGCAGAACAAAGGCGGAGATAGAGAGCAAAAAGAGAGAGCGAGAGAGAGAAAGAGGACAGTGCACATGTGTGTGGGCGTGCGTGTGTCCCTGTGACTGTGTATGTGAGAGCTTGTGTGCCTGCAAACCCCGGGGGAATCTCCTGTACCTGCTAACATGGAGGCGAGTGAACAAAGCTGACTGCAGCCAACGTGGGACCTGAGTCGGAGCAGCTTGAACTCACGCAGACACACACAGACGTAGAGAAAACACAAAGTGGCAGAGAGGGAGAAGACAGATTTATCATAGAAAGAGGGCTCGGATGTAGCTGATGTGTAAAAGCGCAAGAGCTGCGAGCGCGGCTCCAAACCACAGCGAGGCTTCTCCAGCTCCAGCTCTGAGGCCGTGCAGCCTGCAACACAAGAAGCACACTCTTCCTCCTTTCCTCTGTTATTCGCCAAAACCCCAATCAGTGAGCACAGCCGACCACAGAGAAAATGCTGCTGATTACATCCTAATACACACAAAGCCTGCAGCTGACGCACATATACAAATGCACACGCACACACGCTCTGATTACAACCTCTCTAGTGCTCCTCTCTCCTCATCCCCAGTATCAGTTACACGGTAAAGCCACGTCGATGGAGGATCAGTGTATTTTGGCGCAGGCCGGTGAAGGAGTTTGGGAGCTTAACCTCTAGTCAGAGAAAGGAGGCGAGGGGGGGGGGGCTGAGGCTCCGGACCCCCGTGCCCCCCAGCATAAATAAACAGCTACAACACAAAAATGTCTGGCAGACCTGAAACAATTTCCTGAAGGATCTGTCACTGTGCAGGAGGGATGGGGAGAGGAGGAAGACGGGGATCTAAGAAGGAGAGAAAATAGGTGGAATGGCAAGGCGGAGGGGGGAGAAAGATTGAGTTGCAGAAGAAAAAAGAAAAAAGAGGAACCGAAAGAGAGAGGAAGAAATTGGACCTGTGTGTTTGGGAGGTAAAAATTGTTCCCTCGCTGTCTACACAATCATCAACTCGCTGCGGTGGCCTGAATCCAAACACATCACGCTTTTATTTGAAGACATGGTGCTTTTTTCCAGCATCCATCAACCCATCCATCATGGCATGCTTGCACAAACATTGACAGCGCACGCATTGACACCCATGGGACCGCTGACTGGAAATATCTAATGCTCAGCTAGGATACAGTGAATTGTATGTGTATGTGCAGCAAATACACAATAGATTCGGCTGCTTCTATTACATGAGCAAATGGGTGCAGATAGAAGAAGGAGGATGGACGTGTGAGAGCGCATTGTGTTTTCCGTGAGTGTATTTGCATGCTAGTGAGTGCTCATGAGAGTATATATATTTGAATTTGCTTATGTGGCTTTGTGCTTATTTGTGCCTGTGAGTTTGTGCACACACACACACACACACACGCACACGCCTCTTGTGTGTGTTTGTCTGCGTCTGTTGCTGTTTGTGTGCTTGTGGTTGTGCTGGAATGGAACACGGACATTTTGCCACTGAGCTGAATTCACAGAAAACGGGCTTGGTCCGGGCCTGCAGAGCAGTATTTAGACTGGGTATTTATGCATTGGACAACCACAGCAATCTCTATCACCGCCTCGTGATTCATGTTTGTTTGCTTTGCTCGGTGCTGATTCGTTTCCATCAAGAAGCCCCCCGTTTCTTTACCGCTCTCCCAACACGTTTTCCGCAGAAATGTTTCACGCCATTCCCCGGTCAGGGTTTCATCAGCCACCCCTCATCGTAGCTGACCAAGCATTCAGTGGTTTCCATAGCAAAGATGCGACATTAAAACTAACAACCTCTATAATTACACATCCATATTTCTCCGATGAGTTTGTGTAAACAAGCCCAGGCTCCAGCTCGGGGAGGCGGACTTCTTGGCAGGCCCGGGCTGAGGGTGCCACTGAATGGCTGTCGGAAAACAAAGCCATTTCAGAGTGTGCCTTGGAAAAGAGAAACCACTGTTCTGGAGATGGTGGAGAGGGAGAGCAACTCCTTCTGAGAGACAGAGAGCTGTGATTTGAGCTTAGCTTTTGGCCAGAGAAGAAAGACACTGAGAATATGTGTTGTTGGCAAAGCAGAGGGCAAACAACCTCAGACATCTCAGATGGAAAAGGAAATGTGCTTTTCCAGAGTGTTTTAGATTATGGGTTGTCTTTGTTTTATCTTGCACTTATGCTTTTTTTTTTTCACAGAAATGCAGCATTGTCCGATTCAATTTGCCTTATGGACAATGATGCTCCTCTCCTTGTGTCCTACATTTACTCTTCCTAATCACCATAGACTCCGCTCCAGACATGCATCCCTCCAGGAGTCTAAAGATGTCTCCTCTCTCTTTGCCTAAGGCTATTAAAGGGCCGCACAGACCACAGAGATGGTGTCTGCATTTTGAATGGAATTTAAAAAAATTTAAAAAAAACAGGGAGCAACTTTCAACAACTCGAATTCGCTCATAGAGAAAAGAGTCAGATGGCAACTGAGTTTGTGTTAGCTCAGAGAGGAAAAAAAAAAAAGAAAACTAACAGCGCTGTTGTCTCGCAGAGTTAGCTTTGTGGTCCCTTCGTGGTCTGTGCGCTGAAAGGAGATCTAACATATCAGTTAACAAAAATGAGTTGAGCGCAGACTTCCCGCTGCACCTCTACACACACACACACACACACAACTTAGGAGAGTAATGGAAGAAGAAAGGAAAGGTTGGAGGAGTGGGAGCAAGGGATGACATAGTAAGGGAGCTCACACGCAGGATAAAATATTCTAATAAGATAAGCATGGAGCACAGCCGAGGAGGGATGAGTGTCTGCATTTGAAGATGCACGAAGCGGACTAATTGAGATGAATACATGAATATATCAGCTTCATCTAACAGCGACGGGTTCAGCCCGTAACCAATGGTAACCATTCACTTGTACAGCCACGTGAGCAGCCCTCCCTCTTAAAGAAAGTCCTCATACCCCCCCCTCCAAACAGCCCCCCCACCCCCCACTCTAAACAAACTCCTCTGTAATAAACGAAAGGCAATAACCAGCGACAATAACGCTGTGCCTGCTAACCCTCTCTGAATGAAATATCCAAAGGAGAAGTAGCAGAGGCAGCCTGGATAGATTTGCAAAGCAAGCAGAAAGTCATATATTACACTGGCACTCTAATAAACACTGGGGCTGTATTCCCTCACAGGGGGGGTTAAATCTCCTTATCCCAGGCCATGCTGCTCCACCGGTGCTAACCTGACCTGTTAGCAGGGATGACTTTGAAAATGGAATCCTTTAAGGCTTACTGCTTAAAACTCTAATCTGCCACATCAATGACAGCCGACCCACCGTGATTTTCCACACAAATCTAACCCTAAATCCTGATTTGTTAGTTTACTAATTGAAATCCTGTCATTCGGTCTAACTAAATGACCAGGTTTAAAGAATAGTGGTTTAATTTTGGTTTTGTAGCTTGAGGAACACGTTTTTAACTACAGTATCCTCCAGAAATAAGATATTCAATCAAGTTAAAAAGTGTTTTTTCTTGAACCGTTTTGGAGTTTATGTATCCTTTGTTGTTTCGGAGAACATTTTCCCAGTAAAACAAATGACTTATTTGTGTTTTTTAAGCGATTCTGAAGCTCTGCACTCTGCTAAATATGCACAAAACAATTCGTCCTTTGTTCTTGTCTGCTAACATGTATTCGGGAGAGTCCACAGAATCTTGCAGTGTCTCTCGCTTGTAATTAAATATTTCAGAGTGAATATACAGAGGGAGGTTACCAGATGTTAACAGTTATCGTTTCTCAACAAAAATTCATTTAATTACGAGTTAGAAATGTGTGAGTTATTTGGCTCCCTCTGATCTGACAATCAAAATGCCTTTGTCTTTTTTTCAAACATGCAGTGCTGACAAATTCAGCCGCCTCTTTTCCAAATAGCTGTGATTTGATTATGGTAATTTTATGTTGACTGGAGAAGATGACATTTAACACTTTTTTTTTTAGTCAGATTGCTGTTATTACTCTAGAAAATGGCGGTACGCACCTGCAACGCTTTATGAGACTATATTTCAGCCTCGTTTGTTTATGTTTAATGTTCCCGAGTTAACTTGCATTATTAATATGAACACTACGAGGGGGCGCATGCACATATGTTGAAGTGTTTACATCCTCTCAAATGTAGGGCAGGCTGGGATCTTGTGATCCGAGGCATCCGGGCCAGGGATTTCAACCTTGACCCTCAACTCTCCCAAGGGCAAATAAAAGGAGAAGTAAGGCAGAAAAATAGAGTACTGGATGCGTACTGGCCAGTAGAGGAGGATTCCTTGGTGGGTAACTGGGTGTAGGGCTGCATAATGTGTAGGCTGGTGAGCAAATCACATCTATACAGGAGAGAGCCCACGCAAAAGTGCATGAGTGTGAGAGATACGGTATGCAGCATGCCTCCTAACCCTAATCCTGTCAGGTGAGAGCCTGCAGGGAAGATCATCCCACAGCCGCAGATGTAGTTTGTCAGATATACGCCTTGTTTCTTAAAGACCGGGTCATCACCCTTTGTTTGAGTGAGTCAGGAAATAAAAAGCTCTTTTACATTATCAATTTATCCTCTAATGGCAATCAACTGCTGTGAGTTCCCAGGCTGAAAAAACGGAGAAATGGATTGGATTTACCCGCAAAGTCAAATAAAGTAGGCGAGAAGAATGAAAAAACAACCTTGCTGTTTGCTGTGAGTGGGCATTATATGTCTCAGTGAGGCAATCTTCTGGAGGTGAGATAGCAGCGTGCTTCACTGCAGCGGTATTCTGGTGAGGAAGTCGGTGTGTGTCAGAGACCGGGATGGTACACTGAGATGGAGAGTGACAGCTGTCAGTAGGGATCAGGCTTACCCTGCCCACTACACAGGAAATCAAAGCAGGAGACGAGTGCATGAAAACAGGCTGAGTCTGTTTACTGCCTCATGGCCTTACTCTTATATAGAGTATAGACTCACTGGCCCAAGTAACCACTGAAAACATATCACCGAGCAGTCATGGTACATTATTTCAACGAGGAGCGAATAGGAGAGAAAATGGAGGGACTTTTTTGGCTCCACTGGGAACATATAAAGACTGTCTGTATATATGTGTGTGTGGGGGGTATGTATGCTTGTCCCTTCTCTCTCCTCGCTCTGTTGCTCATTTTCTCCATTATATTTCCTCTGACTTAAAAGCCTCCTGTCTAAAATCACTTCTCTCCTGACTCTAACCCCTAAACACAGCGCGGCCATTTTTCTTCACAAACAGCTCATTCCATATCCTGTGTTTAGACAACGCAATGAAATACAACCAGTTTGTTCGCTCATACACCACAGGGGTGAGAAGGCGTATGTGTGTGCGTGTGTGTTTGTGTGTGTACATAGGGGGTGGGTGGGTGGGTGGGGGGAGTGCTGACGGACAGCACAGGCTGGTGCTGGCCTGTGGTTTAGATCAGTGCAGGGTTATCATTACGGGGTCCCTGCTGTGTTTCCGCGACCCCTCGACCATGAGTTTTGACCTTTAACCCCCCCACGACTCCTGTCAGAGCTCGGCTAGGATAGACGGGACCGAGTGGACGGGATCCCCTGCTGTGACACCAAGGCACCCACAAATATATACACACACATGCACCATTTGTTGCTTACTTTACCCCACACCTTTTGTTGCTTATTCAACCCCGCGGATGGTGGAGAAGTTAGAGCGGGGGAGGGGCGGAGATAAACAGACAGAGTGGGAGACTTGTGGTGAACAAGAAAAAGACCGCAGGAAGATTCAGAGGAATGTCCACTCCCTATGCATCTTCCTCTCGTCTCAAACCGCCACTGCCACGTTTGACCGTTAATCAGGCCAGATAAGCCGGGTCTTTATAGGCCGAGCAGATTTACACCACTCTGCTGGCCGGCTGGACCGCATTCCCAGCAGAGACAGCGGGATAACGCACTCACATCTTCTAGGCGGGGATAAGCTGGCCTAAAGGGGCCTCAGCATGCACACAAACACACATATATGCAGAGCACTGTACAAGAGGAGCTGGAAAAGTGTGCTCAGAGCAGGTGCAGGCTGTCCCTCTCTTGCTCTCCTAAGAAAACACACATATATTAAAAGCACACACAGAAACCAAGCATGGTCATTATCTTAATGATAGATGAAGTGTGTCATGGTGTATGCACAGGCTGCGGAGGAATAAATAACTCCAGCTCTTCCTGTTTCAAAGGACAACAACATTAACATAATACCAAGACAAATACTACAGCCGATTACTGCTGACGCGGGAACGTTATAGTATATGAGCCTAATGATGATCCACATTCAGGCTGGATCCTGCACGTCCAGCCGTCCTCATGAAGGATTTATAACCGGTTGTAGTTCACAGTCTGAGCAGTACAGAGCAAATGTTAAGTATTTTTAACGCTTGCATAAGTCCAAACATCAGCAGCAGTGTGTTGTATGAAAAAGTCAACTTAAGGTAAAACAGACATTTTCCCCTTGATGTCGGTTCACGCTTTAGTCATGCATGCCCACGCACATGTCACTAAAAGAGTGAGTTAAAATATTTATGATGTAATCAGGAGACAATATGCGGAGCCGTATTGTTAACAGCCGGCTAGGAAAAACTGGGTGCAGATGCCCAAACTGCCCAAGGTGTTTTCGAGAGACATGTGGGTGTAATAAAGCTCAAAGAAATATGTCTTAAAGTCCACATGATGTGTAGCCACAGGACTCGCCCCCCCACTCTAAAACTGTCGCTTGATAACATCACAGGCTTCATGCTTCCCTGCTTTCTAGCTTTAAGGGAGAGTTCACAAATATCGATTGAACTGCTGCAGATCAAAAGGAAAACATATGTGAGATTTAATTAAGCATGGATTCTTTCCTTCGGAGGGGCATGATATGAAAAAGCTATTTTTACTGTAAGAATGAAATAAAGTTCGGCTTTACTTTCTTCACATAAAAGGGGTTTTACTTTTTATCTTTGGAGGCATTTAAAACTCTAAAAGATCTTAAAAATAAGTGGTCCAGAATAACACCAGATAGAAGAATATTTGGAAACAAAATGATAAGATTCAAGCGATAATAACTGTGAAAATGGGTTGATGAACACCAGAACAGTTAACAAACCTCAGTTAATTCACAGGAGATGATTTATTTCATATTTCCCACAAAGCCTTTATTGATTTCTCTCCGCGCCAGGAGTTTTCTGGCAAAGCCTCCTTGTCGCATGTTAGCATTGACATTGTCTCGCCAATGTCACAGTCATCTCTGATCATTTCACTGATTCAATGAGGAATCAATTACAGATATGGCAAAGCACCCGACTGTCAGTATCCTCAGTCTACATCAACCACAACACATGTTATGATTTTAGAAAGCTCCTCAAGTCCTTCCAGGAAATGTAGGAAACGACTGGCTAGAGGAAATTTAGATAAGGCCTAAATAACATCAAGAATTACACTGTCTTTTGATTTGCCAGATTATGAGCTTCTGCTACAAAGCTGACAAGATGAAGAAAACAGCGTCTAGATTGTCTCATCCAACCAGATTTAAAATTGCTTAGGCATGCCAACTTGTGACTTGATTTATACGGCTGAAACTGTCACTTGATAACATCACAAGCTAACATAATTTCTTGCTGCTGACAAGATACCATGCTCAAAGACCAAAACCAATACACATACGTCTCTGTCTTGCTTTTTTTCTGAATTCTCTATCATGTGTGTCACCTCCGAATGTTGTTTTTTTTTCTTCAAGATAAGAGACGAGGATTATTTATGACCTGGCTGTTTGAAATACTTGATTTTTGATTAGTCAAATGTCATACTCTCAGTGTTTTAGTCATAAAAGGCTGAGTGTCAACAGGCATGTCTGTCTATATAATCCGTCAAAGCGTTAGTTTTTGTCAGCAGTCAAATTTGCTAAATAACATGGAGGATATCTCTGATGTTCCTTTTAAATTTATTTTGAGAGCATGAAACTAAAATTAATGATTGTTGTGTGACCGGTCACCGGCAAAGAAAAGGAAAACAGAGACAAGAAAACAGCAGGGAGACAGTATGGTAGTTAAAAGACACAAGGAAAAGACATCAACTAAATTGAAGAAGTCAGACACAAAGAAAAGACAAATCAAGCCTAACCTTAGATTTTCTCTTTTTATCCTATTTTTATCATTGATGGAAATCTCCAGTGTAACATGATTTGTGACGGACGAGCAGTTAGACGTTTTAACTTGACTGTTAAATGTTCAGTTTAATGCTCTATCATGTGACTGGACTGTGTAGCACTCTCTCTGATCCTCTGACCTCTCAGAGCCCTTTAACACCACGAGTGATGTTCACCCATTCACACCATTTTCATACACTGATGGCAGTAGATGCTGTGTCCATCAGTACTGACTAATCCCCGAACACATGCAATCACACTCCACTAGCTTTGCCACCAGAGGCAGCTCAGAGTTCAGTGTCTGGGTGAAGGACGCTTCAGCGTGTATAGCTTCAAATCACCAACATTTAGATCAAGTGATGACCAATGCCCTGGCGGTCATTTTAATCAGACTGGCAAGTGTGTTGATTGGAAGAGACTGTTGTCATGGTTGGTTGCTGTCATGTCTGTTTACCATGAAGCTGGAGAAACATTTTCCAGATGTATAAAAATAGTTTTAAATTAAAACAATCATCTCTTATTTAATATTTTGTGTTGACTTGTTTGTTTTTTTAGATCATAGCCAAGTTACAGGAATTTTCACCCCTCTGCTTTATGCTGATACCTTTCAGTTTGAATCTTTGTTTATGAATTTGTGGATTACAAATTTTAACAACATTTTTTGTACTTTTTTTTTTTTTTATCCCAATAAAAAGGCATGGAATACTGTGACTCACTGATGTTATCTGTTTGTTTTTGTCCAACAGTGGAGCTGGTTGTCACAGAAGAATGGCTTGAATTGTGCTTGGCGTTTTCAGGAAGTGTGCTAGGATTAGCTGTACCGTCTTAAATGAGATCTGTTTTTAATAAAAAATACAAACAGTCTTCCTTTTCAAGAAAATACACCAAGCAGCTCTAACATTACGAACACCCGAAGATAAAATGTAACCCAACACAACAGCTTAACACAGATTCTGCTACCAGGAGGCTCATGAATCTTCTGTTTTTGTCGACATGATCAGACAGGTGTTACTGGACTTAATCTTAATTATTGAGGATGTTAGTGGGCAGTGGAGGGGATCTGGAGTGTGTTGTTTAAAAAGGTGTTCCTTATGTTTTGTCCACTTCATTAACAAACATAAGTGGCTCATAATATAAAAAATATCTTTAAAGCACTCTTGAATGTAAATCCCTCTAAAACTTCAGCGGTAAACAAAGAACAATTCTCCTCCTCATGACCTTGTCAACAAATACTGAAAATATAGAAGCTTCATAAAAGTACAATTTGAAATAAAGCTGTTGTATTGTGTTGCATTAAATTACAAAGGCGTTTTTATAATGGCAGGTCAGTTTGTATAACAGAGGATTTCACAGGGGCACAAACTGTTGACGTAGTTAATGATGCCTCATGGCAACATAAATGGAGATGTGATGACCACATGCTTTTAAATACTGCATTATCTATGCAGCATTGCACATCATTGTCCTAAGGCCGGTCAGATTTTACACTTTATTTAACAACAGATTATCTGAAAAAAAGTGTTTCCCTAGTGACCATGTGTCATGATGAGCTCTGTGCTAAAACACGTGTGACTTCACCATCACTGCAGAGATCTTCAACCAGAGCTCACGCTGATCTTTTATGCCAAAAAGACTGACCATGCTGGCTACTCCTGCGTTTACACTTAAAAGAAACACTTGAGAACTTTTTTTTTCTTGCTGTTCTTGGTTTGATTGTACTTTTTTTGTTTTGCGTTGTGAAAGAGGGCAACAAATTACAATGGGACGCAGAGTAGGCTTTAGGCTTATATAGAGGTATGACAACTTCACTCTATGATTAGAGACTTTTTAAAAATATATTTTAGACCATAACTAAACTAAAAATTAATTTACTTACTTCTTTAAAAATGATTGTTTTATGGAGTCATAAAAATTTTTTTGGATTAAGCTGCACAGATTTACTGGCAGTGAGGATGTTACAAATCTCCTAAGCTCTACCCTTCCTCCTGGTGCTTTCAAAGAATAAGAAAAACACCGATACACTGATAAACTTTATCTTTAAAATATATTTTCTCTTACATATTTTTCAGGCTGGACCGGTAAGACAGCAGAGACATCTGCAGTGGCGGCTGAAGACATGACATACTTGCAAAAGCACAAACAGCAGACGAGAAGGTAGAAAAGGTGGAGATTCGTGTCTGTTTGAAGTCTTTTGAAGTGTTTTTACTGCAGGCGCTGGACATGGATGAGATCAATCCTCTGCTGACAGATGAGAGTCATAAGATTAAGAACAGTGTCAAGTAAGTTATTACAGTTTAACCTTATTTTTTCTTTTGAATATAAAACAACTGTATTTCATATGAATCTTTGATCAGTGAGGTTTGCTCAGTGGACATCAGCATCTGAATGGATTACAGCCTGACAGCACCATAAATTGTTCATCAGTTTCTTTAGCAGTCTGCCCCATCTCCATGTTGGATTCACAAAGGATGTAATGTCAGTGATATCCTGGCTCATACAGTCCCATATAGCTTTACTGAGCAGGGCAGTTTCTCTTGTTTTTGATTGTTCTTGTGGATTGGAGCTGTCAGCACCTCCACTCTGCCCTGCAAGTGCTTTGCTCTCATGCTGATAGAGTTTAATTCCATATACATACAAATCATGAGCCTGGAGAGGAGCTTGTTTTTCCAGTTTACTCTAAAGCCCAGACAGGACAGAAGGCATACCAGGCTGACTGTCTACAATGACAGCTTCATCCCTGGAGCAAACTATTAGGAGCAATCTGAAAAAAAAATCTCAAGGGTGTAGCTCTCGTAAAGTTCACCATGAAGTCACCTGACATCTCGTATGATTACTGCTCTGCTGTAAGGCAGTCAAAATGTTCAGTATGTTGATACCTTTTAATACTTCATGCTCTAAAATTATACGATATCTATTGTCTTTTTAACCAAGTCTGTTAGAAAAAAAAAAAAACGGACATATTTCACTTAAAGCTGCTGCACGTAAAAAAGAGAAAGAGTGAGCAGTAGTGGTTGATAATCTTATGGAAATGGTGTGTTGGTCAAGAAGAGAATTTAAAAGCTTTACGGTTGGATTATTCCACATGGGTTGTGCTCTAAAAATCTGTGTGTCTCTGTTCCGCTCTCTGTCACAGCCTCTATACAGCTAACTGCTTTCAGCCACGCGTTAGCATATACGTTAGCATATACGTTAGCATTTCTTGAGGGAGCAAAAGAGAGCAACAGTGATGACACCTGGGCTCTATATGTTTCTTTTAGCCCTGAACTGTGAGCTTACATTCACTGCACAATGACTGAAGCCCGTAAAACGGCAACTCTTGTAAGAAAACTAAATACTTCAGACAGAAAGCATAGTCCTTTTAGATACACGCAACGTGACGCACTGCTCCTGTGTTCTCTGTTAGCATGGGATGTACTGCTGTTTTTTTTTTTGTACAGTTGTTTTATTTAAAGGTACTACTGTGTATGCACTTGATTAGGTGTATTGTGTTGTATCAGTAAAGCCAAATTAAAGGTACAGTGTGTAACATAGTAGGATGTTTACTAGAACAGACATGGTAGAAATAATATATTAGGATTAGGAAGTATGTTTTATTTAGTTTATAATCACCTGAATGTTTGTTTTTGCATTGAATAAGCCCTGAACCTTCAAAACACGGAAAGCGCATTAGAGCACAGAGTCAGTGTTGACTCTTCAGCTCAATCCAGGGCGAATTTTACCCTTCCTGTGTTCTTTAAAATTGAATGGTTTTCTTCAACACACTTCAGGAGGTTGAGTGTCCACACAGACCGTGAAGTTCTCCTTGAATTCCCCAATTCATGTCCAGCTGACCTGCTTCTGACTGAAAGATTTTTTTGATGTTTTAAATTTTTATCTCAGCACTTGGCTGGTACAAGCTCAGGTTGTCGGTTTGTATCTTTCGCCACACTTTGCTTCCAAATGTCGGCTACCTCTGTATCATAAGCAAAGCCCATAGCTCCAGTTGTTTCTATGGAACCACAGCAGCAGACATTAATATACAGTTTTAGTGGGAGACTCCCGAGTGTGACTGTGTGTAACTGAGTGTGAAGCAGGCATTATTACTCCGATTGTTCAGCCAGGCTTCTCTGGTTAAATGAAGGTTGGAGAGCTAAATATGAGCAATAAATCATTCTTTATGACACACTTACAGGTGATGTAGTAGTTGACATTTCTCTTGAACTCCAAGCCCATGTAGTTTGGGCTGAACTCCTGGAATTTGATGGTGAACTTGATGTCTTTCTCAGGTTTGTTACAGTTGACCAGGACATTAGGATCCAGGACTGTACTGCAGCTCTCCGCCTGCTCCCTCTTCACCAGATACAGTTTGTAGTATTCATAATCTCTGCCCTGGTCCGCTTTGGGACAAATTATGTCCAATTTGTCCCCAATGTCCGGATAGATGACCAGGCCCTTTCCAGCCAAAAACCTGCAGGGGGGGAAAAAAGACGGACTGTTTTGAACACATGATAAAAGAAATCTGGAAAAGCACCCGCATAATTCAACAACAGTTTATACAGTCTTAAGACTTTGAGCTATAAGAGTTATGGGTTTAGATTTGTCTGGCATGGGCTTTAGGCAAAGCTCAGTTAATTTGGCCCCACTAAAAACACTACATGTAGCAGCTTGACAGCGTTCAACTTTAGTCGACAGACCATTTCACACAAATCCTCTAAAGTTTCTTTTCATTCTTGGATCCAAATCAAAGCATACCAAAAGAGCCCAAAGAGGGAAACAAAATGGCCAAATACAAAATGGCTGCCACAGGAATGGCTAGAGATAGGATTACATCCAAAGTATGCCAATGATTATTTTTTCATATTTTTGGAGTTCCATATAAGTCCAGTTTCTCAGCGTAATACCTTCGCTGCTCCTACTTCAGAAGGCTGCGTTTCTGGAAGAAAACATTTTGTGGGGGTCAGCCGGGGGGTTAAGGCTTCCGGGTTCATCTTCCCTCTGCCATGATCATCTAGTGGGGGGATTAAGATAATCCATCTGGCCTTACTGTACCTCTCCACCTCGCTCTCTGCTGCCAGCTCAATCAGATCAGCGCTTGTTCTCTTTTATTCACAAAAGGTGGAAAACAGGAGGAGACCCACTGTGTGTGTGTAAGTGTGTGTGAAAAGAGGGGGCGGGGGTACACTCGGTACTTGCAGTGTGTTTGGGCAGTGGTGTGTATGTTTATGCTCGTCTGCATGTGTGTGTATGTGTGCGTCTGTCAGCGAAATGGGCTGAGGTTGTGGTCTGGTGGGGGGAGGATGGGGGGGGGGGCAGACGGGCTGAATCATTGTTCTGGACTTGTTTGAGGCTTAAAATGTCAACATGGTTCAGCTCTGCTGTCCCAGTTAGCCAAGCATTAACCCAGACAGCCGGACTGACCACGGGTGTGTTTATGTACTTGTGTGTATGTGTGTGTGTGTGTGTGTGTCGTGGTCGCAGACAGCGAGCACAGCAGCGGGGCTATCTGCTAGATCTGCCCATGCCAGCGGATTTAAGCAGGATTTAGCAGCGCGCAATGCATTTGTTGTTCTTTCTGATCCCTTACGTTTTAACAAGACATCAGGGGCCGGGCCCCTCTCTGTCTCTCTGTCTCTGCCTTCTTTTTCTCTCGGAGAGTAATCTCACCTTATCTACAGCCCCTCATTTCATCATCACACACATCATTTCACCACTAAATAACTGGCTCTTCAGACAGGCCCGGGGAAGGGAGGACTGTGATGCCTCCTGTAAGAGACTGATAGAAGAGTGTATGAGTGTAGGGGGGGATTACGATCGCCATCCCTCCTCATCTGATGTTAAACACTGGCTAACGGCCAGCCATTGTAAGAAATGATCATTTAAAAAGTCCCATTTTCTGAAGAAATACCCCCCATGAAAATGAACATGATTGGATTAAGGCCTTTTCAACATTCATGGCCATTCTTCTTGGACAGGGACATTACCAAATAAATGACTTCATTCACAAAAGAGATAAATGCGACATGAAATTTGCAAAACGGTCAAAATCCCATCCGTCAGGCCCCCATTTTCCCCCCTAATATGATGTCATGAAAGCAAGTGTGGATAGGATCTCTAATACCAGGCTTGGAAGCGGGTGAGACGTTATTTCCACGCTATTGTCTGATGATCATGGGGGTGAGGAGGGAGCCGGGGTGAGAGGAGGGGTTGCGCTAATTCAAGGGCTGATAAGAGCAGGAACGCGGGGTGTCCTTTGTCCCGGCCTCCCTAACAATTTGCTGCTTTTCAGGAGCAACACTCTGCATGTGCCTCAGATGTGTGTGTGTGTCTGTGTCTGTGTGTGTGTGTATGCTTGTATAGGCATACATATGTTTTCATGCATTCATTTGTGTGTGTGTGTGTGAGTGTGTATGTGCATGCGCACTATGCCAGAGTACGCGTGCGTGTTTCTATGAAGACACAGACACAATCAGCCTCTAATTGGATCTACAAGATGCATCAGTGAGGCATAAACAAGTTTCCATGGCAACATTAGGCTTTGTTGCTGACCACCCCTCTCCTCCCCACCTCCACTCTATTCCTCCCTCAATCCCCCCAATCTCAGCCCCCTCTATTTCTACTCCCCAATCTCATTCCCTCTAGCTTTATCCTTCCCTCTCATTCACCTCTTCAACATTTTCCTCATTCTGTTTTTCTCTCACCCTCCTCCCCCTCACTCCCCCTCTCTCTCTCTACACATGAAAAAAACACCTACAGAAAAACAAGCATCAAACATGAGAGGGGGGAAAGAAACACCAGGCAAACATCACAATTAGACCTTGATGCGTTTCACTCCACAAGTAGGTGTTTTTCTGTTTGTTTGTGGGGAATCGTTGGCAACTTTTTTAAAATGTTTTGTTTCCAAAGTGTTAAAAAGTACTTTAATAACCCCACTCTCAAAGAAAACATTGAGACTTACACCCCCGATTCTTGTTTTACAGTCCATTTATTCCATTATCAAAGCGAGCCGCAACAATTTAGATGAATAATTAAGATTTCCAAAATCATAATATCTTAATATCCCTGAAGGATTTAATCACAAGCCGGCCCCTGTCATTGATTCAATTTTCCGAGCAGGCCTCCTACTTGGCGGTTAGATAGCTATCCTAAGTGAATTCTCTGCTTCTGTTTCCCAGCCTTTGTTAACTGTCTGCTATAATGAGGCTCTGGCTGCTGTGGAGGTCTGGAAGCGCCATCGCAGATGGGAAAGAAGCAACATAAAAGAAATAGGGCAGCAATTAGTGTTTAGCCCAGTTTAAAAGCCCTCCACTTGGCAAGCTGCAGCCCAGCTCCAGTCCAGGATGTGAAACTAAACTGGTGGGTTGGGACTTTGTCTCCCGTTTGTCTCTCTGTTGGCTTAATCAGCCCCACTCCGGTGCTACACACAGCCACGCAATGGAGAGGAGGAGACGAGTGACTGAAGATTATTGTACTTTTGAGAAGGTCGAAAGGGAAAAAGGGGGGAAAAAGAGAGGTTGAATTGCGTCTTTCATTCATGTTGTCTGGAGACCTGTTGATGAAAGAAGTTTGGTGCACAGAGGAAGAGCCGTGCAGATACAAACGATGTTTCTGGGAAATGACCCTGAACGGGTGAGCCCCTTTATTCCCCTCATGTCAAACGAGGTGGATCTCCCCGAACCAAACAAAATAAAGAGAATCATTTTCAAAACAACCAAATGAGGTTGGTTTTGTTTCATCTGGATGGCTCCTCAGCGCGCTCAATCCTGTAAAGAGCTTATACAAACAGGGCTCGGCTACAGCACAGCAGAGAGAGAACAGAAAACAACGAAGCGGAGGAAAAGAGAGGCGAGAGGAGAACCCCCTCCTCTCTCTTTTTACATTCCACTGGTGAATATGAGCACATGATCTCACATATGCTACTGCCCCCCCACCTCCCCATACACATACACACACACGGATGTGAGAGCACACAAAAGCACTGTGGGGTGCATCCTGGACCTTCCCAGCACAACTTCCCAGCCACCCCTATTCAGGCGCCCTGCCCTCGCCGACTTTCATATAAAACGCCGCCTACACTCGGGCCCACTCAGAGCCCCTTACAGAGCCTCAAACCAACCCTTCCCCCCGTGCTCTCCACCCCCGTCCAGTCAACTCAGGCCTCTGCCCCGAGTGTAGCACTGGCAGGCAGCCTCGGCCGCTGAAAGGAAGGACCCGAGACACAGAAACTGTGAGAGAAAGAGGCAGAAAAAGCTCATATCAACAGAGTGGTGTCAAATTGATTTGTTCCTCCCGAGCAGCAGCATGAACATGTCTCACATATAATTCGAATCAATTATCTTGGACTATACACATGGCGACCCATGTCTATACCATGCCAACAGACCAGATACAGGTGTACTTCTGCCTGTGTCCATCTGTTTCTGCAGCACCGCACTTAATCTATCTCTCTATCTCTCTATCTCACTGTCCTTTAAAGCACAGAAGTGCATCATCTGTAAACAAACTGACTCTGCTCACGCAATCATCTCTGCAACAGGTACTCTATTCCCTCTGCTCACAGCATGGCAATTATCACACCGGGAAAGCTTTCCCTCGCTAATTATCGTTTCTGTCTTACATTATCCACAAAATCAGTGTGGACACTTCTCCCCTGTTATTACCGATGATGACACTTTCCATACTGCGCCCATATTTACAGCTGTTTCCATCAATATCCCATATGATAGGTTTTATGGCTTCTCTGGAAATATTACAGTAATTCACCCTCATGACAGGGTTACAGTTAAGTCTGTAAAGAGCACAAAGCCGTGTTATGCAAAGAGCATTGTCGTTGAGCCGTTGGGTAATATATATAATGGTGGGGATTTACCACCGACCCACTGGCCTGAGGCGGTCTACGTTTTGTGTAATCACAGGGTACAAATACATCCTGTTCTTATTCAAACCGATCGATATTAAATAATTGTCTGCTAGCAGGCACTGTTTCAGTCTTAAACCGCTCTCAGATCCATCAAGATAGAGCGAGCCACATGCTGGCTCAGCCTCACAATGGAAACATTCAAGCTGCAGCTTCTGAAATGGCTTCCCTCTTGATGTGTGGTTAAGATCCTCTGAGAGATGTTGACACTGTGTGATCATTTCGCTCTTCAAGGAAGGCACATCACCAAAGTGTCCGCGTGTTTGCTCAGCTTCACAGATATTCGCCACATTTGTAATACTTTGGGGGTCACGTGAGGTGGCGACTGCATGACAAACAGACCTGGAACGAGTCCGGCCGGTATTCCTGCACAGTTTGAAGAGACGCTTTGGGGAGTTGGGTCATAGTTCTGCGCTCATAGCCCGGGGCTCGACCCGAGTACTTGTATACATAACTGGCTTCTGTCAGGCTGTCGCAGGGGAAGATGTTCTTAGGAGGGCCTGACTGTAAACACACACACATAAACACGCGCCCCGCAGTGTACACAAAACGATTTCCTCACATGTCAAACACGGTAAACAAGTCGCCTCAATGCTGGCGCAGGCCACACACACACACACAGCCACACGAACACACACTAGGAACCTGAAATTAAGCAAAACAAGGCCCATCTGGCTCCAGAATTGTTTAGCAAAGCAGGAAGGATTTGACCCCTATTATAGAAAAGCAGGACAAGCTCGCCAACGGGTAGTTGTATTGGATAAACTATAAACTCAGTCCAAGTTGCATTTAAACTCCAGACTTGGCAACGGTGAGTTGCTGGAAAGCAGAAAGCTCGGTATTTTCCCTCCATGCTGTCCCCATTAGAGGCGCACAAATGAAGATGTCAGAGGAAAAAAGACAGACAGAATATCCTGAATTCCACCCTGCAGAGAACTGCTTTTGTACGTGTGAACACAGACACCCTCTCTCTCTCACAGACACAGACAAACACTCTCTAGCTTCAGTTAGCTCAGTCAACACGCTGGCATGCAGAGCAAATCACATTCAGCGTGACTCATAACAGTTGCACACAGGCGAGTTATATCACACACACACACACACACATGAGCGAGGCAGAAACACACCTCTCATACTCGGCTAGTTCACTAAACAGGCTCTGTATGCTAGCCCTCGATCACTGTCACATGGTGGACTAGCATCACACCGTCCGCGGCCGTAATGAGCTAACAAGATGACGCCCAGATGGCCTTGCCACGAGGAGGACAGAAGTGGACGTTGTTGCTAGAGGAACATGCTGAAGAGGACTGTTGAGCGAAAGGAGTGTCAGAAGTCATTAGGGAGGAGAAAGAGCATAATCTGTTTCTTCTTATGGCCTCTGTGGTTTCTGTCCATGCTGAGCCCATCCCTTTCTAAGAGCAGGGGAGTTAAGCGAGCATGGGTGTATGCGGTCGTGATTGAACGTCATCCACAGTATCACTGACAGCAAGAGAAGGCCCAGACTGTTGCTCTCTGAATCCCCACTTATTCATCCGGGAGCCCAGGGACTGAGCTCTTCCAGCTGGAGGGCCAGGGGGTGAGGAAGAGGAGAGAGGGGAAGGGAAGGTTTGGCTCCGCAAGACAAGAGAGTTTGGGTCAGTTTCAGCTTGAGTTTAGCCCTCATTCTGGAGTTGTTCTGTGACACAAACACACACAAGACTCCCCCCTTCTCCTCTTCTTCTTCCCTGGCCACGACATAGCACACACGCACACAGGAAAACATACACAAACACACATACACGCACACAGCCAGCTGCCTCCCATCACTGAGGAGCAGCCACAGATGGGCTCTGCATGCTCCGTAAAGATCTCTCCACAGGCCCAGTCTACAGTCGCTGCCAAACCCGCCTGGCCCGAACCCACTGTATGTGTGAGCATGTTTGTGTGACTCTGTGTGCTGATATACGTGTGGTCATACGTGCTGGAGTGGGTGAGGGTGTGTGTGTGTGTTTTTGTGTGTGTGATAGCGTGCCAGACACCCTGAACGTGCCAGAGTTGGTATGTGTACGCGTATGGTTCGGGGGGCTGGACAGCCGTACCGAGAGGAATCCCTCAGGACGAGGAGCTGCAGAGCAGAGAGTCAAGAGCTGGACCAGGATGCAAGGTTGTAATCAGTGCTGAGCAGAAGAACCACCCAGACGAACAATAGCAACTCTCTAACTCACCCAGATTGTGTTTCACTCCCACTTGGGGAAAGCGATGGAGAAGCTAAAGAGAAAAAGGAATCGTAACCATTATCAAACCCACACAGCTTGCCTGGGTTGTTAACCAGCGGCCATTTTCTGCTCTGTATCTGTAACCTCATCGATCAGCCCGTGGAAAACATTTCTCAGAAAAACAGCCTTTTTAATGTTGCAACCTAATCAGCCGATCACATGTACCAATAAACACACACTTACAGCTTTATTTCTTACACAAGTTACTTAAATTCAGTTTGGCTAAGATTCAACCAGTCATGGTTAAATTCAATTCTTCACAATTGCCCTCTTATCTGAGCATGGTTAAAAATTCCTCCAGGGATGGCCGCTTCGGACTGAGTAATCAAGCACAGTGAAAAGCTTATTGAAGATGAGAGTCAGGCAACGGTAAGAAGCTAAAGTTAGCTAAATTTTCTAACTCATGGAAGGAATGAGTTGGCTCTCAGGCACACCAGGGGGGAAGGAGGATCAGATCCTTGCTCAGCTGTATTTTGACTCCGGCACATCTGGGAATCAAATCAGCCTGAAGATGTCTCCCATACAAACCTGACACATAACTAATGATTTTTTTCTCCCTCCACATGTTCGGTTTACTTCTTTGTTCTCTCGCCCAAAGTTAGAAAACTGACACCACTCTCAAAACTGTGCAATAAACATTCAGGTGATCAAGAAGATTACCTTCTGTCCCCTCATAATCCTCTTGTATCTATGCTTTAGTTGATCTTAGCCTGACAGTCCCTACATTGAGGATTTTTTCACAGTATCCATGTTGATTGTGGTGAGACCAGCAGGTAAATCTGTAACTGTAAAGTTCTGAATAGGGCTTCTGAGAACTGTGACACTGGTAGGTACACAGAGTCAGTTATACTTGGGTAATCACCAAACCTATTCAAGTTTATTTTAGGGATGCACAGATCCAATATTTGGATTGGATATCGGCTCTGGTATTGACAAATTAACTGGATCAGACAGCTGATGAATGGTGCTGATCCAGTGTTCTGATCTTTTTTTTCCTTTTAATTAATATACACAGCAACACAGCGATTCTGTTCGCTCTATATAGTCTATCATTTTGCACTAAATGTTTACATGGAATTGTTAATTCTTTTTGATGTGTGCTAATGCGCAATTTGTTATTTGTTAATAAATAATATTAAGTAAAAAAATAGGGAAAAAAATTAACTGGTGCATCTCTAGTTTATTGTCACTTTTGCCTTCTTTCTTTTTTTAACTGCTTGATCTTATATTTTGAAATAGTTCATATTTGCTTCTTATGTCTGACACTGAATGTCGTATTTTTTTCTAATGCTAAAATTACTGTTTTGTTTTTAACTCTGTAAAGCACTTGGAGTTGCTCTTTGTATGAACGGCGCTGTCTAAATAAACTTGTCATGTCTTGCCTTGGCCAAGTCACCTGTCAATCAATCCTCCTCCCAGCAGACAAAGACATTAAGACATTAGTTGATGAAAAGAGTTCAGGACCGCAAGTGAGATAGCTCTTCATTCGGAACAATTAAAAGTTATGAAGCCTTTAATTATTTGCAATGGGAGAACCTGAATTTTCCTGTCTGAACAAATGCTGCTCAGTGTTAAGTTAAATATAGTTTTGTAAAGCTTCTCTGTAAAGTTCTGTTAACTCATCCCAGGAGCTTTTTTTTTTTATGCCCCGCGGTGACCACAATAACTGACTAACAAACCGTTCTTCTGTTTTAACAAAGCTGAGGCCAGCAGCTTGTTAGCTTAGCAGCATAAAGATTAGAAAAACTCTCGGGAGAACAGCTTGCCTGGCTCTGCCTTAAGTTAACAAAGTCTGATCAGCAGCACCTGTAACACTCTAAGTGTCTATTGTATACTTCAGCTTCTACACAAATGAGATATTATGTTAATTAATAAGCTTCAAAGATGCTGGTAGGCAGCTGAGGACACAGCCAGGCGGACTGTTTTGAGGCATAAAAACTTAAGCTAGCAGCAGTCTTGAGAGTTACAGCAATGTTCTGTCGAAGTTTGTGCAAGAAAGAAAAAGTGTATTTCCCAAAATGTCAAACTATTTCTGTGACAGTAATAATATGATACCAGATCCTAGGATTATTATTTTTTTGCCTTCTCCATCTTAAGCACAAGTTCTGCTCCAGTGGGGCTCGGGTTGGTCTATTTTTGGGATATAGAATGAACTGCTTCGAGTTTGAATTTTATGGCAACACTTTATGATCAAGGGGGCACTCAATCGATACTTTATGAGTCTGTATGCAGTTAACAGGTGTTAATAGGACACAGCTACGAGAAGTCTCGAATACCAGAGAGAAACCCCAGCCTTACTGAGAGAACAAAGGGAAGACATGGTGCACAGAAAGCCAATCAATCAATCTCTGACAAAACACGTCTGGCTTTGACAGCTCGGTTCTGAACCCCGACGTAAAAGATAGCATGCAGCAAAGTTCAAAATACTTCTATTGTTCATCTGTCAATGTGCAAGACAATTGCACGGGAGAGGGAGGGAAAATACTAACACAATATTTATCTTGCGTCCCCTTCCCTCCTGACTCACTCTTTTTTAATGTATTCCTGCTTTTGTGAGGAGTGCTGGGAGATGGATGGGTAGAGGAGTCCAGTAGGTGATATGTGTCTGCTACAAGCACAGTGCAGTCACTCACACATTTCCCCTGTCTCCAATCTCAAGCAACGGCAATAATTCAGACACCAACAAACACCGATGGGTCCTTTTTTTTTTTTCATGTGGTATTTCAATTGTAGTGGTTGGTGGTTTTTCTTCTGCATTGTTCTTGAAACTGCTTCCCTGGGAAACTGGGAAAGTCAAACAGCTGACGAGATGTCACCTCATGAACTCTCTCCTCGGTTTCACACACTCACAAACAGCCACGTCGGCGATCTGACGCACACTCAAGCATTCTCCTTTTTCTCCTTCCACACACACACACTATTGTAGGGATCTCTCATCAACTGCTTGTCAAGCTAGACGGCGCACAGGGCTGTCTGAACAGGCCGCGAGCTGCAGCTTCTCACTCTGACTCTTGCCTTCCATTGCTGGCGACTCTTGATCAGACGTGTTGGCCTTCTGATGGTCGTGGCAGAGTCGCAGTAAGATCCCTGTAAATCTGAGTGATTTCCCCAGACAGTGTGGACATGTTCTTCTCAAGTTAGTTTTTCATTTAGCCTTCAGCGTCCCGAGCTTGAGAGAACGTGTGTGGTGCAATAAACCTCAGCTTTAACAGTCATTTCCCTGTAGCAATACCTGTTCTCTGTGCATGCCCGTACCTGGGCCCCACACATGCCTGTTGTGACTGGTCATGCGGTGCTATATGGGGAGCATGTATGACCTGAGGAATTATCCTGTGTTCCAACAGGGACATATGCATGCATGAGTGCACAAGCTCACACAGACACATACACATTCCTGCATGTGCAAGTACATTACATACACATACATTCTTAAAAAGCCAACAGTAGCGAAACAAGAGAGGATAGGCCTCTCTGTGTGCAACTGACAGAGTGAATTACACGCTGAGCTAAAACACTAGCTTCCTGTCTATACAACAGCGCTGGATGGCTTTCAGATGGATTTCACCGAATCTTGAACAAACAGTGAGTCAATAATGGGGTAATGGCCAATCGTTGAGGAAGAACAATTCACAAGTGATTTGCGGATAAAATGTGTGTTTAGGGCACTTTGCACCACAGTCTGTCACGCAGCCATAACAAGGGCGCGCTGCCAATAGGTTCCATTTGCAGGGCCTGACACCAGAGATGCATGCAGACATCTAAATGTTCCTGAGCCCTTTATATGTGACTTGATATACCTCATCACAGACAGGCCTCAGAGGAGAAAAAAAAAAGAAATTCCACTGATGGAAAGCTGATAGTTCTGTCTCTAATGATTCTAGGAGCAATGAAATCAATGACAAATTTGTGTTATGAGCAAACGTACAAGACATTTTAATCCTTCAGCACTTTGCCCCTGATATTTATGTCTGTCGCTGGAGCTTTCATTATCATAAAGCGTGTTTAATATTTCTCAGCTGTGGGAGTGGAGCGCCACACTACAGATGATTGAGTGCCCAAGATTTAGTGGCTCTCCCTGTCTCTCCTTCTTCTTTCTCCAGCTGCGTCCACGTACTTCAGGACCTAAACACACGCAGAGTCGACCAGGAGAGGAGGCAACAGAAAGAAGAAGAGGGAGGGAGCACTGTGCAAGCACTGAGGACATGGTGCCAACCAGAGAGGCCCACCGTGCCTCAGCCCCATCTCTCCAGCTGAGGGCTTTGATTCGCCTGATTGTCTCCAATATTGAGACACACAATAAACACAACACTTGGCCGCCATTTGCAATTCTAATCAGACGCTCTCAACTGGCCCGGACAACCCAGCTCCAGCCCTCTGGGATATCACTCATCTGACTGCAAAATAATGACACAATCATCGCCATGGCTACGCTCCTACTGCATCCCACGAGCTGCGGCGAGGAAGGATATTAATACACAGGAGTGCTTGGAGAACTAAATGAATTAGCCAAGAGATTAGCAGGATACCAGGTTAATGAATGTGCCATGCAGGAAACTTTTCCCGTCTGGCATTTGGGGAGCGTTAAAATCCCCCTCCCCCCCAAAAATGACTTGCAGCAAGTAGGCGAGCCGGCAGGCCCACACCTGCTTCTGAGAGGCATGTTATGACAGGATTTCAATAAACCATCTTCTTTCAACGTGAGTTTCTGGCTGTGTAAACTTGGGTTGATTGTTTCTTGATAAGGCAGCAAGTTGCAAACTTCAGCACTATCTGATTTTGACATGCTGTAACGTGACAATACACTAAAGTGCAGGCTGTGATCTGATCGTTATCCACCGTAAAAAAGCTGTGTTTATGTTCAACTATGATATCATTTGTTTTCCGGACGTTAAAACCCTAAACGAATTAAGCAAATAAAGATAAGCTTTAAGATAAACAGGGGTTTATCTTTAACAAAATGTCCCAAAATCATACATCTGTGAATTCTAAAAGCACCATCTGTTGGCTTTTTCCGATGTTGTTTTCATTGAGTTGACAACATGATGGTAATAGATGCTTGCAGATAAATGAGAGCAAAGTGACACGCAATCATCCACGTTTTAGTCGCCTTGATGTATTTGCTTTAACAGTCATCCGGAAGACGAGGAACTCAAATTTATTTCACAAAATAACAGGCACATCTTATGAAACTGGCTATTTGACTTGCAAATCATTCAGATGATTCATAACTGAGGCCGTGCTCGTCTGCCCTCGTTTTCAAGTGAGCACGAGAGCAAGCCTGCACGGCCAAGTCTCTCTGTGTGTGTGCGTGTGCGTTTGTGAGTCGATACTTGCAGAGGCATGTGACTGACAGCCTGTCAGTGAAAGAGATGTCATTATCTGGATGATGTCTATGTGAGTTGTGACCGAGGGCAGGGTCGTACCACTGGTGGGAAGCTGACACTCGGTGGACAGGAAACGTTACTCTGTGATTCCCCTCTTGAGAGGAAACACTCTTGTCCCAATCTGCACTGCCACTGTTCGACCACATTCAGAGTTCAGTACTACATGTGTAAAAAATGAGCGTACACTCATGACAATAGCATGACAGATACATATCTCAAAAGCATTATTTTAAAGTGGTTTCTTTAAAAAAACACAAATAGGGGATTTTTGTCTTTGTTCATCGTGCCTTGTGGGGAGGATTTCTGGTTAAACTGTCCCCTCCCTGTCCTTAGCCTTTGACTTCTTCTGTGTTACAACAATGCGTGGGTTTTAGTCCTGCGGTCGATCTGTTAGGGCGCTGATAAGAGAAACTGATGGATAGCTTTAATCAGCCAAGCTCAGGGATCAAGACCAAAGGACAGATCAATCAAATGCTGTGTGGTTTATAAAAGAAACAGCTTTTATCAGTGTCACAAGGGGCTCTGTGTGCGTTTTTTATCAGGGGAAGAAACCAGCATTTACACAATAAACTTAATGTGAAAAAACAGAGAGAACGCTATGGTGTTGAAAGCCGCGTTAACTAATGTGACTAATAAGCCAAATGCAATAAAAATAGAAAGGCGAGGAAGAAATGAAAAAGGCACATCTGTAATCACTATTCAGAGACTATTAAACTCCTAAGGCAACTCTGCGATAAAGCATAAAGCTAAATGTCCCTCGTCTCCAACATACTAAACACCTCCTGACATAAAATGAAATAAAACTGCAGCTAAGCCCCTTCTGTGCTATAAAAACTGAACTGAAACAAAAACTGCATAGAAATCAAAAAGAGAAACAACAGAAAGACCCAAAAAAGGCTGAAAACTATCCACACCAAACAAACAACAAATCTCCATATAACAAAGCACCAGACGCCTGTTATAACTGGGACACGGTGTTTTAATACACAGCTGCCTTCTGTGACTTAAAAAGCAGCTTCTTATCAGAGAATCTGAGTGACAGGTCTATTCTCTGCTTACAATCTCAGCTCATGATTGTTTAAGACAGCTACACATGTCCCATCCAATCCAAGACAAATTAGTTACTCTTTCTTTTCTCCCTTGGATGGGAGATCTTATCCAGGCGGACATGCTTAAGTTGTCAGTGGGTTTCTAAAACCCATATTGAACAGCATATTGACTGATGCAATCGCGGAGACACACATCATTAGGCTCATTAACAGTGAATGTAAAAGGGGAGGACGGCCTAACTGGTGCAGCGGGAGTCTGTGTCTCCTCTGATAACACTCGCCTTTAACAAGCCGAGCGCAGGCAAGATGCAGGCTGTCGGTGTTAAAATGAAATGTGTGTGATGTGTGTGCTAATAAATAGCTTGTTTGACATGATACTATTCTCACACACACAGTTTGCTCTGCGATAACCGGGCGGATTGTGGCCTCGTAAAGACGCTCCATGTGTTGTTTTAGGAAGCCATTACAAACTAGGCCGTCTCCATTACAAGGGCTATCTGATCATTATTACAGCCATCTGTAATGCACACTCAAAGCTTAATCTGTACAAGGCAACCACAGCTGACTCCTGAGCTAGTATACACACACTAACTTCCGCTGTGATATAAATGTGTGTGTATGTAGGGATATCCAAACGTGACACAGCCGCTGTTCCCCTCGTCACATTGCGACTCAGGGGTCAACACGTTTCAGTCGACCCTCTTTAAGCTACGCTGAGTGGAGCACCACAATCCTGTTGAAGCCAGTGCCTTTGCAAGTCTCTTTTCAAGGCCCTGCACCCCAACACCCGTGCAAGGCAATCGCAATCTCCCAGCCAGAGCTGCCCGCACCCTTCAAAGGCTCATCACAGGACGCACATCTAATGCAGAGAGAAGGCCGGTTAAAGCCTCAGCCAGGCACGCTGCTTTGAAGCGACTGCTCCAGCCCCTCAAATAGGAGCCAAATCATTTCCCTTCCCTCCACCATTCCATTGTGTGAGCGGTGCACCAGCCGGCTCTATTTGGTGGCCGCATGTGGGGCGCCTTCAAGGATCACGCCACTCCATTCCAGAGCAGGGCCACTACAGGAAATGAGACTCTCCAATGCACAGGGCCTTCTCTACGATAAATAAATTCATGCATTCATGTATATTTCAAATAAGAATTTGACTCAGGCCGCATAATGCTCATGGAGAGGTGCAGACTCTGAGATTCTTGACATGCACAAGGTGCTACAATCAGAGATGTATAAATAAATCAGAATATGCAGCAAACACAGCTACTAAAAGCGGCAACACAAGCATGTGCCGGGCGCGCAGGAAGGGCTCACGGAGGTTTGTCTGCTGAAGAAGAGCTTTCATCTTGGAGACGGGAGAAAAGAAGAGAGGAGTGATGTGGTGGAGGTTCGTGCTGTCATGTTTCGCAGTAGGGGGACGTGAGAGACAGATGATGAGAATAGCTAAAAGTAGTCAACATATTCAGTGCAGGGGTAAAAGGGAAGATGAGACAGCAGAGTGCTGAAAGAGCAGCCCATATTAAGATAAGCATGTTAAAATCATAGTGTGAAATATTATATTACAGAGCCTTAAGAGGAAACACTACCACGGTTACTCATTAAATAGAGTCAGTGCAGAGCTGCCCTCAGTCTTATTCTCTGCATACTTCATAAAAGTGAGAGAAGAGAAGTTTGAGATATTGTGTTTGCTTTAGCAGACCTTCACTTCTATTTCCAATATCGGGGACATGAGAGGCTTCCATGGCAAAGCACATCATGGGGGAGAATAAACACACATCTAATGGGAAACATGTGTGTGGGAGATGAAACGGCCTCCCTCATATGAATGGGATGAAATATAGACCTGAGTCCCGCTGCGCACCAATCACAGCCGTAAGAAGTCGGCGTGGAGGGGAAACGGCAGACCCCCGACAGGCTTCCTCACTCAACACACACACAAGCTGCCAATATGGCCACTCTGGAGCGGATTCATGTGGAGGCCAGAGTCTGACAGTGACATCTCCATTCAGTCTGAATTCTTTTTCTCTTCTCAACATGCATAGACACACACACACACACACACACACACACACACACACACACACACACACACACACACACACACACACACACACACACACACACACACACACAGAGCCAGAGGCCATGGGAGGAGGAGCAGCGCTGGGGCATGAAAAAAATCCTTTCTCCCTGCCGTGGGTCTCTGTGGGGTTTAGCATGGCATTATGGGAAGATTAGACTTTAGAGTGCTCTACTATCTGATGTCATTGTGGGTTTTTACGTTGTCTGGTTGGCTTGTGGAACTCGGACCTGATGGCAGGCACATTTTTCTCCTAACAAAATGCTCGGGGTTGCAGTTGTGATTGATTGCAGGTTCCTATTGTATCTGTCTGGTATGGCTCTATTGGAAGAAGAATTAGTCGGACAAAAACTCATGGAAAACGCTGCACATCTGACTCCATCAATCAAGTCAGCAATCAAAATAATTCAATTAAGAGACTTAAATCCCGCTGGCTTACGAGCCCCTGCTCCAATAGCCCAGAGACAAACTCAATTTACCGACAATCCATACATGATAGCATTAACTCTACTTTTAGGCTCAAATCTTTTTCCATTACTTACATTTTCTAAATATCCGGGGAAACGCAAAGGAAATAATTTAGTTGTTCTGTTTACTTAAGGAAAAGAAAACTTGGAAATAAAATAGAGAGCAATTTAAAATACATAATAAAAAGCAGACAGGTTGTTCAGACAGCAAAACTAATTTATGATTTGTTTGGAAAGGGGACCTATTCGCAAAACAGAGACACTTTAGAAATGTTTTTATAGGTCTGGTAAATAGCCGTACATCAGAAATGCAGCATTGTAGAGAGACTGAGAGAGGGAGGTTGCTGAATATGTGTGTAATTGTCTTTTTCCCCCGTTTCCGAGGTGTGAAAGGGAATGCAGGGTTGCACTGGGGTGTCCCGGGGAGAGGCGATTGAAGCGTCAGTCACAGCTGCCACACAGAGCCCCGGCGCGCAGCAAATCCCAAGCCCGGCCCTTGTGGGCGGAGGGGCCGGGCCCGGGCCTGGGAGCCTGCAGGAGTCCCCAAAGGCCTTTTCTTCATGCTCCTCTCACCAGCACAAGGGGGACCGGGATCATGCTGGGAGTTTGCTTAGAAAAGACTGAGCCAAAACTTGGCAGAATGGGTTAACGGAGGCATGCATATACACACACACACACACACACTCACTCACACTCACACATACACACACACAGAAACTCAAATGCTTTTTAGGCTGCCTGTCTTTGCCTGTGGGCATGGTGGGAAAAAAAGATAAAGTGGGTAAAAATCAAAGATAAATCAAACTTCCAGTTAACATCTGAAAATTTACAGCCACACACACACACATACAACCACACAGAAACACACACACACACACACCCAGAGCAGAAAGGGACTGCTGGAACAAGATTACTGGAGAAATGAGTGGTTTTTGCTCGATGCCTGGGGAGCCTAATAGTGGTAAAGTCCTGAGGATTATACACTGTGCCATTTCCATGCTCCCCCTAATAGTCTCCATGTCCTGCCTCTGTATGCCATAGATGGATTATGATGCTTTATAATTAACATGGGGAGGGGGGGATTGTTACAGACCGCCCATCTGCCATACTGACACACTTACGGGGGGTATCCCCTGGGAAAAAGGGGCTGCTACCACACTACTCCATTACTTTATCGTTTTATCATTCTATTATCCCACCACTCCATTCAATTACACTGTCACTCCATTAGTGTACTCATAACAGTGAACAAAGAGCTCCATGATGGTCATTAATGATACGTTCAGAGCAGGCAGGCTTTGGTCATGCTTCATCCGGTCTCTGATAAAATATTATCTGTTACAAAACTTAGACTCACTTTGGTTCCACTGCAGGAGCTACAGGTAAGAGATTCAACACTTACAACTTTATTATATTATATTTCATTATTTTATTATTATATTATATTATATTATAGGCTTGCATTATATTATATTATATTATATTATATTATATTATATTATATTAAAAAAACACTACCTATAGTTAGCATAAGAAAGTTTGACAAGGGATAATATTAATTCACTGGACTTTTTTCTGGCTTGCATGTTTCATAAGAGGCCAAAAAAACTCACGAAACATACTTTTTCAGAGAGTTTTTCTTTAAATTAAAAAACTAAAAAAAATTCATTTTGCTTTGGTTATTTTTTCCTCTATTACTTTTAACTGTTCAAAATACCTCAAAAGCTGGAGATGTCTTTGCTCGGGTATTACTTATATGATGAACTCTGTGCTAGCTAGGTATGTGGGACCGCTGCGTTGTGAAATATCATATCTGGAACATATGTAATCTGCTGAATGAGGCCCCTCTAAAACTGTCAGAATGTAGAGTTAAGAAATTCTTCAGATACGACAGATGCCGTATTTTGAATGTCAGACATGTCACATCTTTTGATGTCAGCTCAGTATTTTTAAGCGTCTTCGACAGAGTGATGGTGTGCCACAGATTAGGTTATCCTCCAGCCAGTTACTAACTGTGTCCATATTTTTCAAGATATAACATGGGGATATTTTATCTTCTGGTATGTGGCATTTACCTTATCTAAAAACACTAAATTTAATAAGGAGAATTTAGCTCAGTGTTTGTCCTGATATAAAGCATTTCAATAAATCTCCATGTTTGCTCCAGATTCTTAAAAGACTTGAAAAATAACAATACTATTGGGTTTTGGTGCAATTTTAATTAATTAAAAAACTTGAAACTCTAAACACAGACTAGTAAAGTTGGTTATTTGACTTTGTGTAGTTTGCACAAAACATTTAGTGGTTACTTTAAAAATTGACTCACACTTGAAATTAAGTAAATAGTAGTTTTTATTCTTTTACTGTTTTGTTTTCTTTTTTTTCTGAAGTTTTTTGAGCCCTGAGATTTCATTAAAAGTTACCCTTCAATCTCAAAGTATACCTTTAGTTTCTGACCTCTATTCTTTTGAGCTTTTGCAGGTTTTCAAGCTCCTCAGTTGCAAAAATAACTAACTAAGCTCAGACTTAGACTTTAATGAAAGATATTTTAAATTACGGGCTTGTAATTTTGTCCCTCAGCACTGGAGCAAGACAAAAAAGCCACCAAGAGTTGGGCTACAATTTACAGCCTACATTTTTCTACAAAACCATGACTTTTATTTGTCAATAAACATGCTCTCCTATTCCCGTCTCTCCCATTTTTGTCAGTTTGTTGAAATGCCTTACCCCCTACCCCAAAGTGCTGGCACACAAACCTCCCACAAAAGTCTTTGGAGTGTCACAAACGCGGGGGAAACAGATCCCTTGTCTCCTGTATGCCCGTGACAACTCATGACGTCTTACAGAAGTTGCAGTGCAGCTGGCTGTAAAGGTTGCCTGCCCGCTGCTTGGGCCTGGCGTCTGATCAGGTCTGCCTCCACAGCACAGAGGGGTTCTCTGAGAAAGAGTTAAGTCTATGAGGTCAGTCCAGAGGAGGAGGTTACGAGTTCCCGAGTCGGAGCCGCAGGGGTAATGGTTTTAGAGATGGCTGTCACATAGATCCGTTCCACTGTCCAACACCAACGCTGATCTCCACCAATCCCAGTCCGCTCGCTTTTCAATCGCTCAACTTCTCTCTCACTGTCCCCTTTCTTCCTTTCTCCCTCTCTCTCCCCCTCGCACTGACACATGGAAGTAATCTGGGAGCTCTACGCTGGACTGAAAGGATGTGCGGTTGAGCTCAGGGCCGCGTTTCAACGCTCTACATCAGCTTCCTTTCCTCTCCTGTTTAATCCCCTTATTTTCAGCTTCTCTTATGTAAAAGAACTAAGATGGCAAACAAAAGGCAGACTTTTCCCCGCTTTTGCCCAACTTCTTTTCCCCACTTCCTGTAACTCTGCATCTCGACATTCTCACTTGATTCAGCTGAGGCCCAGACAAGAAGAGATCTTAAGGGAAGTCTTCCAGCACCAACGCCTGTGCCTCTGCTTGGCAGCATCGGAGCTGATGGGAACTTCCTGGTTGTTGCCAGCCAGGCTTCTGTCTAATGAAGCCGGGTCGCTAACTGCCTGTAAGGAAGCTACTGTTCAGCCACTCCACACTCGTCCACCGCTCAGCCCTCAACACTTTCACAGAGGGCACACTGGCACGCTTCTAACACTTCCTTAATGCTCCACTGTGGCTGGACAAAGAACAATGGCACAACGACGTGCTCTCTCAAGCACTCATTCACTTCTATAAGCTCATACTTGTTCCTCTCATAGAGACTTAGTGTCTTTTAATTGCAGAGGGAACACATAAAAAGTAAAAATTAAATGAGCTACAAGTGACTCGACAAAATAATTGAGTGACTACTTATGAAAATTACTGGATGAAGTCCAAATATCCAATACTTTATGTTTGTTTTGGCTCACTTGAGCCTTGAATAATGTGATTTTATTACACCAGTAATTAAAACGAGCGGCAAAAAGTTTCAACAGGTTTCTCATAATTCAGTGACTCACAACAGACAACCTAAACCCACGTCTGTCACGCCTACGTGAGTGTCTGATCAATTAAATCTCTGCTTTTAAAGATTAAAAAAAAGGTAGGTGATGACTGGCATGAAGCCGAAGGAACAACTCTTTTAATTTTCAGTCATATTTTAACTAAATTAGTCTCCACAATATGGACAAGTAATGGAAACAGATTTGTGGGAAGTTTTGATTTTGATGCAGGAAGTTGACAACAAAAACTTTTTGTTTGAACACAAAGAGGTGATTCATTAATAATTATAGGTGTGGGCAACTTAGCCAATTATAACCATGAGTGGTTATTAATGTGTCAACAGTAGAGAGTCCTTTAATCTTTATAGTTTTGAGCACGACTCTGGTTTAATTCTGTTGCAGTAGGCGGCTGTTAAATCGATTCGACAAAGCATTTTGCAATGTGAGGTTTTTAATTCCCTAGATAAATACATAAACCTTAAGACACTTCTCTCATTAGTTTCCCAACCGAATTTCTTCATGTTTTCAATTTTTGCATCATGATTCTTGTGGTTTTATGCAGCGAAAGAAGATTTTTATCAATGTTGCCTAATCGAGAAGGACTATCAAAGCTGCTGCTGATTGTTTTTGATCAGTAAACCGATGAACTGACTCATCTTTTCCTCCTCATTCTTATTCCAAGTGATTCATTGCATTCAGCTGCTCTCGCTTGTGAATCAGTCTCCATGATATGCCTTAAAAGAAAACCAACTGTAACTCTTAGACACAAAGACAAGATGAGACTCGAAGCAGACAAGAAAAAAAGTAAAAAAATCTGTTGCAAATGCTTCTTATCCCTAAGCAGGGGGCCGAAAAACTGGGTAACACGCTCACCACTGCATGAATATAAAGAAATGAACGCATCAGAAGACACAAAGAGCAGAATGATCAGTTTTCAGTGATGTGGCAGCCAAACCACCAGCGGATAAAGTGAGTCCATCTGGAGAGAAAAACCATGATGGAAAAATTGCATTTTTTCCCCGAAATAACCTAAAGCGCTGGAGCCCCTTTTTGAGCCCAGGTGCCTCAGCAAGATAACCAAATGAAGAGTCTGACACTGCACACCGCTGAAACAACAGACATGTCCGCACAGAAGTGCACACATATAAAAGCAGACGCAGCTGTCCTCGCAGGGAGACACAGGGAGCCTTTACAGCACCGTGAGCCAGTTGCTTTCCGCAAGTATTTCTTATTGGTCGTCCCTCTCTCCTTCTCTGTGAGGAGTGGGGCTCGAGCTCTAAGTCCTCTCTGTGTGTAATGAGATCTTTATCAGAGGGAAACACGATCAGAGTGGAGAGGGGGAGAAAGGGGGGATTCAGAAAGGATAGGAGAGAGAAGGTGTGTATCACGAGGGGTAAAAGGGGCAAGCAGCAGGACGCGGGGCAGGGGAGAAACAAAAACAGGCCTCTGACCCTCTCAACGGTGACCCACTCTGCAGCGAGCGTGAGGGGAGCATTCGCAGGACTCCTCCTCGCAAGGAACCAAAATCCTGTTTCTGATCTCGTCCTGAAGTTTCACTCGGGTCTCGTTCAACAGGTTACGGCAGTTTTCAGTTTTGCAGTGGCAGGCTTGTTTTTTTTTCACCTCCCGCTGAAACCCGGCGATGAAATCTGACATTTTTAAATTTAAATGTCGGCACAAAGAGGTTGTTCAGAAACTTAACTTTTGCAGGAGCCAAATGTGAATCTGAATCTGTTTCTAAAACAAAGATAAGGCAGATGTTTGGTTTTTTTTTTTCCCCTAATTACTTTAAAGGAGAAACGATTTTTTCCACCAATTATCTTATCGGAAAAAAAACTAATTAGGAAAGCAAAACTTGAACTTTAATTTGGCCTCGTGTGCACCTTTTCTCATAATTGCAGCCCTGTGAGATGTATTTTTGAAGATGAATTATATGTAAACTTTCCACCTCATCAACTCCAAGTTATCATTTATGTTAAAAATAAATTAGAACTCTTTTTTTTCTTATCAGTCTTTTGGGTTTGGGAAAAAAAAAAAGTTTGTTAAATGTCACTTAATAACCAAGTGTTAATCAAATCCAGCTTAATCATCAAACTCACTCAACCTTCAAACCACACAATCACGCTATAAACCAAACCAGTGAGCTGTTAAACTGTGAGCCAGGCAGCTGAGGTCAATACACATCAAAATAAGATGAGTAAGTAAAGACCCGCAGCAACACCGATTTTAGCTTATCGACACAAGCGCCTCTCTCCCTGTTATGCTATTTTGTGGGCTTCAAAATCTGACACGGAGGCCAGAGAATGTCTGCAAACTCTTTCCAAACCTTTCTCGAAGTGTGAGGAGTTCAAAACCAGTGCATCAGACTCCCAGCCAGCCTGTGGCTGTTTCTTGGCTGAGTGTTTTCAGAGGTGTGCAAGACTGTTTCCCATCTCTCTACCTCTCTCTCCCATCATCTTGTTTGTCTCCTGAGCTGCTGCAAACAGGCTGCGGTGGCTTCAGGTCATGAGGTAAATATTAGCGAAGGAGGGTTAGAGGACGTGCAGGAGCCAGTCATAGCAACCTTGTCAGATTATCATTAAATTGGCATCACTGCAGCATTCCTGAGCACACTGTGAGTTGTGTGTGTGTGTGTGTGTACGTAGAAAGTATGCCTGTACATTGCTGTGCTAGCCTCAGAAAAACCGATGGGACGTGATCAGTCATAACAAAGTGACATTTTCTGGCGTAATCCCACTCAGCTAAATGAGAACTAATCCGATTTGCTCTGATCAAATGTTAGACGGTTCTTTACCGACCGGGGACGTTGACACATCTAGCCTTCTTCTGCACGGCTGCTCCTTCACCAAAACCCCCCCTTCACTCTACCCCCTCGCCATTTCACTCATCCACCCTCAAATTAAATATCAGAAAGGTCTCATACATCCCGCAGCAAAGTTTACACTCTAGGATGTTTCCCCTTCTCCTTCTTCTTCGTCTTATTTCCAGACAGGGTTACGGTGATGATGTATGTTGCCTGTTCAAGCACGCTGGGAGGAAATCAATTAAGCAAACCCCAGTTATTGATAATGCAGGAGCGGGACTGATAGCATCCTCACATGGAAATCCATAACAGCAGGACCGCTTGGAGGGGCCCGCTCATAAGCCTGCACACACACATAAAAATAGAAAAAACACACGCACACCATAGTGGCCCAAACCTGCTGGTTTCCTATACTTTCTCTCATAACTCATGGCCTGTAGGGAGGCCCTTGCATTGTTACATTTTGTGTGTATGTGGTACAGTGTGCAAGCAGAGGGCCAGATTAATTTATTAGCTGAGGCAGCAGTGCTCCCCAAAGTGGGAACAGGAAGTAAGAAGTCGTAAATCTAGATAAGTCACCAGATAGTGTACTGTACATTTCTATAGGCCGCTCGCCCTCTCTCTCTCTCCGTGTTATCGCTGCTCTATAATATGGGCCCAGACAAAGAGATGGAGTTTAAAACAACAAACAGTGAAGACAGATGCTGATTGCTCTACAAGTATTCTCTTTTTTATTGCCTATCGGACGCCGCTGCTGACTGATACATTTCAGAGGAAAAACAGGTTTGTCTTTTGTTATTGCAAAGCCTGCACACAGCAAGATAATTGTCTATTGTTTTGTAAGCGCAGAGCAGCAGGATAATTAGGTTGAGAGAACACTTTGCGGAGTGCATTATTGTTCCACTGTGAACTTTATGAAATATTCAGCCGGCATGGGGATTTTACAAGGAGCGGAGTGGAGAAACAGATGGAGAAATGATCCTTCAATCCCTAAACCAGCGTGGCAACCTTCTAAGACATTCCCTGCAGGTGACATCATCAATCAATAAATGTCTCCCCCACTTTTTTCATCCATCTTCCTGTGACTGACAAAAGGTGTGGGTTTATCGTGCATATGGGATATGTGTGGGTCTTCTATCTGTGTCTGATGATGACGCTCATTGTTCCACTACCTCTGCAGCTATAGTCAAATAAAAGCTGATGGGCCGTAGTAGTCTTACCATTAGGACCAGGCCACACTCACATACTTACACACATATCTATACACACTCCAGTGAACGTGGCAGCAATATTCATACCCAGTGACTGCACAACGAGCTTCTATGACATCTGACATTTGGGGGATAAATCACGGATTCACTTGAATGAGTAAATTCTAGTTATAATCTGGTCGAGCTACTCTCCATTTCCCCTCGGTGCAGTGAGCTCACATGAAGGTCAGCTCCCGGCCCCATACAGAAACACAGGCGAAGGTTTTATTTCTCTTCTTTTCACTGCATTTTCCCCCTTATGTATGCTTTCCAACATCATGCAAATGTGGGAGTCAAGTCTAAGTGGGTGATAATTGTTACCAGAGCAGATTTTATTATCAGCAGTCTGGGCTTACTCTGCTCGTTTTTGAAGGGAATAAAATGATTTTGGAGAAATGTGTCTGGTTTCAGCTGCATGCTTTTAAGAAACTTGCCCTTGATTTTGATGTAGAAAAATTGGGCTGGATCCAAGCCAGGGCGATTAAGGAAAATTAAATTCATTTCAAGCATTTCTTGCACTTATATCTGGAACCATCTAATCACACATTCTGTGTGGGCAAACTGAATTCACACAGTGGAGAGTTAGTTGGGAGGCAGTGTGGCCCTCTGAGCAGAGAGGCAGTCCATATCCAGGGCTCCTGAGACGGACTGAGAGCAGAAAACCCCTCTATCTAGTTTACTGGGCTACACCTTGGCACAGTTGGCACTCTTTCCTTGACTTCTCTCCTCCATTGTCTCCTAAGTTTATATCGTCATTTACAAGAACGTGAAGGACTGATGCGAACAAACTCTCACAACTTTAAGGTGGTCGTAAATGGAGTGTCAGAGCAGACTTTGCCCCTCAATCTGTAATAAAAATGCGCCTGTAATGTTGTCATAAATTGCCATAATTATCCATCCATCATTGTGTTTTAAGTGGGGCCTACTGTTTGTTGTATAAGCGTATACCTACTGTGTTTCTGTGGTGTCGGGAAATTCCCCCTCTGAGAATTAAGTCAACACAGAACTCTGCGGCGCAGGAACGACAATTACATCTAAATAAATTATGATCTTTTTAAAGATAATTGCCACATTTAACAGAACATTTAACCCAGCACACAATGGCAACTTTTTCCAGTAATGTCAGCCCTCCATTACGCACACACCCTGTGAGTTTTGGTATGCTTGTACAAATGAAATACGAGACTTACTTGGAATTCTGCGAGCTCCAAATTATAGTCTCCAACGATTTGGCAGAAGGTAGCGCCGACCTGCACATTAAAATAAAGATCCAGAGATAATACTTCCAACAGGAGAGTCCCGCCATTCTGCTAAGTGTATAGACAGTGAGCCGATAACTCAGAGCGTCGGACAGTGCGCCTGGCAGCCTTTAGCTGTGGTTCGCCCGGTGGGAAGGTGAGCTACGATCAGTCGGGAGCATGTGAGGTCGATATCAGATACATGTCCTTCTGTCCGACTTCTTAAAAATCTGCTCCAGGCCCCCGTGTCCTTGACTGAACTGTCTGCAGGACGTGGAAAGAAGAAGAAGAAGCCCCCGGTTCTTGATGGGATCTGGGAGGACCGCAGCCCCCCGAGTGTCCTTCTTGACCTGTGGCTGAGACAAAAACAGCCCTCGCGACCTTATTACTCAGTGGAGACAACTTCAGGATACGATCTCATGAGTGCAGAAAGAGATCTAAGCGATCGCACAGTTTCGGGAGCCACAGTCTAGCGATGCGTCTGCCGATGAAGCGCTGCGCCGAGTCTTTGTCAAAGCTCCTCTGGTGGTGTCTGTACCTGTCGCTGTTTATAGCCTACAGATGACCACATTCATCCATCAGTCACAACTCCGCAGCACGCTGGGAATCCCGAGGTCCACTTCATTCCAGTGTTATCTTTCACTCCTCCTCCCCCTTTTGCTATTCTTCTTCGCAACGGATTTGAGTTTCTATTGTAAATATCCCTCCCGGCTCTCAGCGCCGTTCCGCGTGCGTGTTGCGCTCCAGCAGGGTTGCTTCTATTCCAACTCGGGCATGCTGCGTGGCCAGTGCGTAAAAACACAACGTCTCCGCACCTTGTTTGTTGCCGCTGCTCACACACAAAAAGTGCTGAAGGATGGTTATACCTGCGCACCAGCCCGCTCGGCGCCTCTAAATCCGCCTGCCAACGTTTCCATGCCGGTGTGTGTGTGTCTTTCTTTTTTTTAACCGTTAACAACAGCCTCAACGCTCCGCTGTGTGCAGCAGCTCGAGCTCAACTGTAACCCGAGTCGAGGAGAGCGCATGGGGGACAGCCCACAGTGAGAGCCGCGGCCAATCACAGCGCTCTGTCCGGACTTGGGAAGCAGGAAGCGAATGCTTTTATGGGGACGTGGAGGGGTTGGTGGTGGTGGTGGCTAGATGGAGAGAGAGGGGAGGGAGTCTGTTATTGGGTTGACCCCACAGCTCCACTCCCCCCACCACCGCCACCACCACCACCACCACGGCCCGAGCCATCGACCCAAATTGAAATGGACTTTGAAGTTATTCGTCATACTGAGAGCTTTGGTGGGGAAAAAGAGCGTGATTGGCCATTGGAGCGTACGCAAAAGTGCTAACAGGAGTAAAAGTTTGGCCCCTTTAAGTCTCGGACCTGCCTGTCCCTAAACGTCTCGCGTTTTAACATTTATGCCACGATAGGGAATTATAATTATGTCTGTCTTGGAGAATCTGTGTTGTATTCTACTTTTAACTGGGCTGTAATTTCAGGTTGAAACTATAATCAACTTTTCTATTTTTATTCACAGTTTGTTTCTGCAACAATCTGTAGAATTTACAGTATTGGGTTACCTTATCTGTTATTTTAGTCTCCTCTTTCTTCCCCTTTGAAAGGAATGATGATTAATGGTCTCTTTGGATCTCTTTCTAGTTGTCCCCGTTTGGGATAATGAACTGCATGAGAACTTAGTCTCCAGTGTCAATAGACAATAGATCGTCGGTAGCCTATAGTCATTGGGCCATTCATTCATTGAGGAAGAAATGCTTGACACATAATTGATCATGTCCATGTCTGTGCCCCTTTTGTGTGTGTGTGTGTGTGTGTGTGTGTGTGTGTGTGTGTGTGTGTGTGTGTGTGTGTGTGTGTGAGAGAGAGAGAGAGAGTGTGTTTGTATGAGGGAGAGAGAAAAGGAGCCGAGTTTCTCTTAATTTCCTTGCATTTACTCAATCAATGCCGCCCCCTAATGGTTGTGATGAAATCGATTCACAGAATACAGGAGGGGACTTTTGTATAATTGGAAGGGAAGGATAGCAGGCATTTAAAGACATGTCTTGTGTTTCCTGGAATTATTTTTATAACATCCTGTTGTGCCCTGACAGCCCATAAATCTTTGTAAAACAATAATCAACTTCACACCTGAATGATTATGCGCTCAGTTTATCTCACTGAATTTCTGTGTGTGTCTGTGTGTGTGTGTGTGTGTGTATGACGGAGAGAGAGCGCCTCCATGGCTGCAGTAGAGTATGGATTTCTGGCACAATGTCACCTATGTCCAAGGTGCATGGAGAGCAGAAAAAGGTGTTAAGAGGTCATAAAGTTGTTCTTTGTACTACAAGGGCTGCTGGAGGTTTGCCATTGCTGCATCCTCAGAAGCCATCCCATAAACTGCCAGAGTGTTGTCACAGTAACAGCAAACACAGACCAGTTGCCACAGAGCTGGCATGTCCCATCTGACAGCCAGAACGTCTGGGATACCTGATACCTCGCGGACCAATCACACGGCATAAGAGAGATACCTGATCCACTGCGGGCCAATGGGACGCCACCTGTATAGACTTCATTGCATGCCACAGCTGCAGCCAATGAGTGACCAATAAGGAGATGGCCCCCAGGACTGTGACAGTGGGCATACCATGGTGTTGTTGTAAAAGTGCCATTAAGCCAAAGCCTGCGAAGCAAAAGAAACGATAAGACCAGTGCAATACAATACAGGGATCGCCTTAAGAAGGAATCACTTCTAATCTTTAACAACAGCACACGCGACAGAAGAAAAACACATCATATACAGTACAGAGGATTATGAAGGATATGTAAGAGATAATGGACTTTCCACATTATACCACATAAACAGAACACAAAAGCCTTACAGTTGATAGAGATCCATGTACTAAAGCAGGGAGCCTTGACAAAGAGTGTACTGAGCCTTGCTTTTATGTTTAGTCCCTCACCATTAAAGGCAGGCTGATTTTTTTTTCACCCCCTCAGACAGCCACCTATGAAATAGTGGCATTTTCAAGAAATGAGGTCATCATGTTAATGTGTATATGTGGCTGTGATTAGTGCTTCTATTAATAGTCTAAATGTACTTCCATGCCACTGAAGCTCACACTCGCACACACAATCTTCAGACCCTTCAAAGTGGAGTAGGTCTGAAACCAAAGAATATGTTTCATTATTCATAAATGTTTTTCATTTCATTAATTAATCATTGGAGTTTACATGCAGAAAATGTAGAAAATGCTGAGCCCCACCACCCTGAGGATGAGGAACTTATTTTTTTTTGTCTGACCAGCAGCTACAAAATCTGAAAAAGCAAGAAATCTGGTGGCTCTGTGAGGTTTTCGAGAAAAATAGTGAACCTTTGGGCTAAATGTCAGACAAATCCTCGGAAAACCATGAATACATAAACAAGTTTTTGCGAGTTTATCTTCTGCACCAAAGATTTATTTTTACAGATTAGTTTTAACTTGACCTTTTGCCAATTGTTAAAGGAAATGTCAAAGGAAAGCCTTATCAAGAAAAAGTTTGAAAGTTTTAATCACTGAACTTCGACCGTACCAGAATGTTTGATGGTTGTGAAGTCAATTCTATAAAACTCCAAGAGTATTCGAACCGTTTCAGTCCAACTATTTGCAGATTGGTTTAAAGAGTAACTCTCTTAGCTACTGACTGTATAGAATAGACAAGTTGCCTTTATTTCTCATTGTTGTGAGCTCTGAAGCCAGAAGATCACTTCCATGGGTGCCAACATACTGAGACGATGCAGTCGAAGCATGTGCTGGTGGAGCTGCAGGACTGACATCAAACCCTGTTACCTAACCAAAACATGAATTCAATTTACCAATCCCTGTGGTCGGATCAATCAACAGCAGCAGTGTTATGAAAGTTCACTCTAAATCTGAGCTTGCTCAAAGTGCAGCTCTCACTGATCAAAACGAACTAGTTCATAGATCATTCCAGCATCCAAAGATAAAGTTTATCTTTTTTTATCTGCACTTTAGTTTTCTCACAGTGCAGCCTCCTAAACTACAATCCCTAATCCTCAATCATTGACATTTCCTAAACTAAATGGATTATCAAATGCGATTCTTCTGTTGAATCACAGACATATATTTAGTTTAAAATCCAAGGAAATCCAACCTCAGTGTGTTTACCTGTCAAATACGAAAAACCAGCAGCTTTGAAACCTTAGAAATACACGTGTAACTAAAACTTGTTGGCTGAATATCTGACTAAAGATTCTGACTCGGATACACAGGAACAATCGGCTTTGTAATCGAGGACGTCAATGAGATGGTTTTCATTTTCTGCTAAATAAAAAGGCTAAGGGTAAAGTAACACTGAGCAACAGAAAACACCAAAGTGAATTATTCTCCTTTAAAACCTAAACCTCTGTGAAACCATAGGGGATTCTAGCTCTTGGAATCTGCCTGAATTTGTTTGTAAAACTACTTAAAATGTCCAAATGAGCTGGACCCATCAACACTGCTGGCTATATATGAGCTGCCAGAAGTCCTGGGTGCCATAAATCCGACTTTGGCTGCTGTAACACACAAAGCTGGGTAACATGGTTATTCACTTTCTCCAGAATGGACTATGCTCACATTCCCATTCATGGGTCATTTCTTCTCTACTCTTCTATTTTTGAAAAGAACCCACATTTGGCAACAGACCTGTCAAGCAACCATCTATTTATCATCAGATAACTAATTCAAACTAATCTTTCAAGAAACATAAAAACAGTTTTATATCATTTATTTTATGGTTTGACCGGTTAGATCTGTACCCAAGGAGTAAGCAGGGTTTGTGACCTGTATGGCAGCCAGTCAGTAGGGCTCTTAACTATTTGGCTTCACAGTCAGTGAAGACTGATGGCGCTTACCCGGGATTTCCACCGCATCCGGAACGGCGGCGATTTTTGCCAACGCCAATTCCTACGTAGCTATCCATTTGTGTGGCGAATTTTGTGGCGGATTACAGACAGCGGGAATCGCGAGAACTCACAAGAACCTGCGGATTCACGTGCAATCGCGCGATAACGAGTCATCTTTAGCCACATAGGCTAACCATATAAGCGGTAGATTGTGTCCTTCCAGGAGGAAATCTACATCTAGACTTATAAAATCAGCATCCTCCCATCCATGGTGTCACCGGGATGAAACGCTGTCTATAAACCTTTCACTTGTTCGTCTCCGCCCGTTTGCATGGTGTAAAATATGATCTGCCTGAAAGACGGAGTGTTTTATTTTGAAAAGAAGCTGGATGTTTTATTTTGTGTCTGTGCTCGACTTCCTTTCCAGCACAGGTTAATCTAGCATGCTCCGGCGTCTGGAAAAAAATAGAACTCTTGCGATCAGTTGCAGAGTCCGGCGATCCACAGTGGAACGGAAAGAAGTCGGTGGAAATTGACACATTAACTTGAATGGTTTCGATCAGCTACGATCGGGGGATACGGCCTTTTCATAGCCATTTCAGATGGAAATTGTGTCTATACCATTAAATTGGGTACTTTCTTCAGACAAAACATGGGAAAAGTCCTGGTTAACATACTCTACTTAGCCTAAGTTTTTTATTATAATGTCAGAATTTACTCACTAGATACAGCCTAAATGAAAAACTGAGGGGATTTGTGTCTGAGGCTGAAAGCTATTTCAAATGCTGACCATATCCGACATCAGTTCAGTCAGGTTTGGGCTGAAAATTGATGGTACTAGCTGTGGAAATTGTGTACCCAGTTAATTTCATTTTAAGCGCCATTAGGCTAAATTACAATGGTATGACATTTCAGACTTACTGTAATATGGAGAGCCAAGTAATAAGTGAAAGTTGAAACTGGGGTCGACAGAAGTAGAATTGATGTTCATATTATATTCGGGCATGAGTCATCAAACAAATACCGATATTAATTAGCAAGCCAAAAACACAAAATGATCATTACCTTGGTACACAGGTGCAGTTTGCTGTTGGAATGTATTTCACTGGCTTGTTCACTATGGCCCAGGTTTCTGACATGTTGGTTTTGTGCTTGTCTTTTGAGTCGTTGGAGGATTTCATATTTGGAAATCATGTGAGGAACTTTTAATTTGTATCAACCTTGGGTCCCCTGTGGACAGAGCGGTCTTTGTTTATCTTGTTCCCTGCATGCTTCAACAGCGCAGGAAAAAAACATCTCATCCTGCTGACTTTTGATAAACAAATGTGTCAGTAACTGTGAATATTTATTGTAAAATTATAAAAACAGGGCTGTCTCTTCAGCTGCTCAGCTGAAACCTTCCTCCTCTGACGTGTTTCAGGCATTAGAATATATAATAATAAAATGATCAACTGTGTCTCTTATGGTTTTGTTCGCTTTTGGGTATCCCAGAGGGGCATACATATGAATATCAGTTTATTCCATAGATGCTAAAAAAACACCTTACATGAGCTTTAAAGATGCAAAACTCAGAGTTTACGTCTTAATAGTTGAACACAGATAATGAAATCATAAGGTTTTGAGTGACTGGTGTGTTAAATTTCCCTCTGGTGCATACACTCAACTGAAAATGTCAAGCTGCTTGATATTTATCCACTTGCTGACACCGTCTATCCATTCACCAACTGCACATGAATCTGAAAGCCATTTAGCATTTGTCAGGGTAAGTTTGTTTAGGTAGAAATCCCGGATTTAGGTGGTTAATCCCCTTGCAAGGCTTGAAATACTTTTGTTCCTTGCTGTACTTTCATTTTCAAACTGCAAT